CGCCTACCCTCTCTGATGGTGGGAGGCGCCTGAATCACCACGAATCTGACAGGTCGGTTTCCAATACCAAGAACAGAGGCCCCAGGCGTGGGAGGATGCTTTGTGGGGCAAGTGAACACAAGGGCAGTCGAGGCGGCTTTGGAGGGGGACTCGGAACCCAAAGGCTAGAGTGCGTGGATCTGTCCTACTGTGTTTACTGCCTTCCCTGTATTCCCTCCCCAAACACCAGGATTCAAGACTTAAGATGTAAAGGAAGAAAGCGATGACAGAGGCCTTATAGTTAGTGCCCTCATGCAATAGTGACGCTCTCCACCTCTGTAATGAGGATTCTGTCCAATGCGTTTCCACTCCCCCCGCGCCCCCCCCTGCAGCTTTTTAATTTTTTTGCTTTGCTTCAGACACCATGGAGACCAAGAGGCACATTTTTTCCAAGGCTCATGCTCCATCCAGATGTCCGTTGCCTTGTGGGTTTACAACTGGGAGCGCCCTGCGGCTTGCATTATGGGAAAACATGTAGAGATGTAAGCTACCTGCTAGGCAGGGTTTTGTAGAAAGGGAACTGCAGGTGTTCGGGGAGGGGACCGGGGAGGTTGCAGATGTGCCCTGTGGCGGGGCTGCTGTATGCCTTCTCCTCTCCTAGCATCTGGCCTTTTTGCACTCGGAAGCTATCCCATCAATTCTTGTTCCCTCCAGTTTGGAGGAGCTTCTCAAGTGACAGAAACATCACAATCATCAGGGGAAGCTGTTAAACATGTAGATTTCTGGGCCAGATTTAGATCTCCTGAAAGAGAATCTGCATGTTAATGAGCTGGGCCCCACGAGCCTGCATTTTAATAGGCCAGGGCGCAGTCATCTAAATCGAACTGTTTTAAAATTGAGAAATATAATCAGAAGAATAGCTTGGTGTACGTAATTGAAATAGTAAGGAAGCGCACACCCTGTGTGAACACGACCCCGGTGAGGACATAGAGCCTCGGGGCCCCCGGAAGCCCCCTGAAGGGGGGTGGTCACTTGTGTCCCCAACCCCCCCAACGCTAGGTGAAGCACTTTCCTGAGCTTCGAGACACTGTCCCCTGCCTCACTAGAGGCTGTCGTTATAAATGCATCCCAGAACAATATATTCCTTTGCCTATTTAAAAATGGTGTGGAGCCCGGCCGGTGTGACTCAGTGGTCGAGCGTCGACCTATGAACCAGGAGGTCAGGGCACATGCCCAGGTTGCGGGCTCAGTCCCCAGTGTAGGGCGTGCAGGAGGCAGCCGATCAATGATTCTCTCTCATCATTGATGTTTCTCTTTCTCTCTCTCCCTCTTGCTGCTTCTCTGAAATCAATAAAAATGTATTTTTTATAAATCCTGTAGAAATGGGATCGTCTTTAATATATTGTGCCTTGCCTAGCTGCTACAAAGAAGACATGTGTTAGACAATACTCATGTGAATGGGCAAAAAAAAACTCGAGGACTGTATTTGTGACTAATTGTATAACAGGTTATTTTAGTTTCTGTTCTGTGGAAAGTGTAAAGCATTCCAACCAAGGGTTTTAATGTAGATTTTTTTTTTTTTTTTGCACCCATGCTGTTGATTGCTAAATGTAATAGTCTGATCATGACGCTGAATAAATGTGTCTTTTTAAAAAAAAATATATATATATTGTGCCTTGCTGTTCTCACTCTGCATTATGGTTGTGTGGCTGCCCTGTGGTGTTGCCCCTCGCTGTACTTTGTCACTCTTCAAGGCTGCGTAGTATTCCATTATGTGGAGATAACACACTTGATCTATTGTCAGGCTAATTTTGTTGATGAGGAAACAGTGAGTCAGAAAAGTCCAGTAACTAAAGAGCCCAGTGCTGGGGTTAAATAGGCTGACTTTGAAACCAGCTTCCACCACCTGGGGCATCACTGTGTAAGCTTGGCCACTCTGATCTTTGTGCCTTGGTTTTCTCATCTGTGAAATGACAATAATTGCTCCTGTTTCCGTGTTGTGATGATTCAGTAAAACAAGTACATGGAAAGTCATTAAAACGTTGCCTGGCCACTCAAAACACTTTCAGTTCAGGAATGGGAACTGGGATTCTTTGTACAGTTTTAATTTCCCATGAGCACGTATTACTTTTATGTCCATTAGTTCAACACAAACCTTTGCCCCATAGCTTTTCTTTTTTTATTAAAAAAATATATTTTTTTATTGATTTCAGAGAGGGAGAGGGAAAGAAACATCAATGATAAGAATCATTGATCAGCTGCCTCCTGCACACCCCCTACTGGGGACTGAGCCCACAACCCGGACATGTGTCCTGACAGGAACCGAACCGTGACCTCCTGTTCATAGGTTGACAACCACTGAGCCTCGCCGGCCAGGCTACCCCACAGCTTTTCAGCCTCAGGCCCTGGAGTTCAGCTAATGTGTGATCAAGGAGTGACAAACCAGGAAGCCCTCACTGCGAAGGCAGAGCTCAGTCTAGCCCAGCAGTGGGCAAACTACGGCCCGCGGGCCAAATCTGGCCCGTTTGAAATGAATAAAACTAAAAAAAAGAAAAGACCGTACCCTTTTATGTAATGATGTTTACTTTGAATTTATATTAGTTCACACAAACACTCCATCCATGGTTTTGTTCCGGCCCTCCGGTTCAGTTTAAGAACCCATTGTGGCCCTCGAGTCAAAAAGTTTGCCCACCCCTGGTCTAGCCCCTGACCCCTCCTGAGGGGGACATGATCTGACCTAATGTCCTCTACAAAAAGGGCACAGCCAACCCTGCAGGAGGCAGGGACGCCAACACCAGGGAGGACAGGGCTGGCCTCTGACTCCCGTCATGGGATCGGGTCCTCATTCTGCCCCTGCCACTCTCAGGGGCTAGCCCGTGCCTCTCCGGCTGCAGTGTCCTCATCAGGGCACGAGGGGCTCAGAGGAGAGATCCAAGACCTTTTCCCGTGAGTTCCGACCCCGAGCCTTTGGCTCCAGCTGCCGAGATGCCAGGGAAACCCGCTCAGGTTCTCTGGTGCCCACTTGTCTCCTCCAGAGATGCCCAGGCAGGGGCTGGCCTGGCTGCAGGGAGGCAGCCCACGGGCCAGTGGCAAATAGGGGCCCTGGAGGGCCTGGCCTCCCCCAAAACGAGCCCTGTTGGGAGTGGCTGTGCACCTGTCCCCCCCCAGTTCATGCCGTGAACTCACTCCCGCTGGGAAGGTGGTTCCTCTAAAGCACCATGACTGCCGGGAGCTAGATAGGTGCCTGCCCGCTCCAGCTTCCACAGTCTGAGGTCACTCTGGTCCCCACAGCCTGTCCTTCCCGCCCCCTCCTGTGGCCTCACCAGTCATCTTCCTGGTGAACTGGGAGCCAAGGGCCAGGCCAGGCAGCCGCTGGTGCCACCATGCGCGCTGGCCCGGGGCCAGCTTAGATAATTCATGGCATCACCCTGACGCCCCCTCACTTCCTCTCGGATGGCTATGAGAAGCATCTGGAAAGGCAACAGCTGCTGCCTTCCACCCCGGAGAGGGCGGTGAGGTAATGGCCATACATAGTCCGGCCAGCGCGGTGAAGGGGGCTGTGTGTGGAGGAGAGCGTGTTACTGTCTTTCTTGGGCTCCAGGGCACTTCGCTGACACCCGGCACCAAGGGGAGAGGAGAAGTTAACCCGCTTTCCGGCTCCACAAAAGCATCTTTCATCCACAACAGACTCCAGATTGGAGGGAAGACCTCACTCCACAGTGGCCAGAGACAAGCAGCTCTGTGAATCCCCGACCCCCCCTCCTTTTTTGAGGTTCCCCCTGAAACCCAGAAAGCTCCGGAGACACATGGAGTCTAAGGCAGGAATGGAAGCACGGAGACTCGGACAACACTCAGATGTGACGCGTTGGCCCTGAAAGAGCAGTCACCTGGTCTGAATGGCCGGTGGCTCGCAGAGGAGAGGGCGGCCCCCAGGGGGAAGGGGCTGCAGTCTGGTTGTTAGCAGGAGACAAAGGGCCGAGTAGTATGAGCTGAGCCCACCTGCATGCCAGGCAGCGAACGACTGAGGGGAAATGGAACTGAGCCATGAGGTAGAGAGGGGCACCTTCGTCCACCCTCCCCTCCCGCAGCCCCTGCCCCCGCGCAGACTTGGCCGAGCTGGCCCGGAGCAGGCTCCGAAGAGGACGTGGAGCAGGTGCCCTCACCATTTAACTGCTCAGGAGGCAGGAGTCAATGCCGACTGGCACTGCGTGCTCTCACCTCGCATCAAAGCCGAAGCGGCTCTGCCCACCACCCTGGCCTCTCCCGGTGGAAGGGAGAACGCGGTGCCTAGGATGGCCCTTCGTTCCTTCCGACTTCCACGTTTCTATTACATAAATGTTACCTTTTGAAAAATATTCTTCAGTGTCCAACAAAGCACCCAGGGGGTACCATAACCATTCTCTCCAGATGCAATCACTGTGCTGTGTCCTTCAAGGTCATCTAGGTGCATCTACATGTGCTCTTGTCTGCGCCCCAACTGCTTCCCCAGGCATGATCCACATGTAGCGCGGGAGCGAAGGGTTTCACGTGCGTAAATTAATTACCTGTCTAAGCCAGCGTGCCCCAGAATGAGTGCGAGAGGGCAAGTGCAGGAGGTTTCAGGTCTCACGTGATTTGTGCTTAAAGAAGCCGCTTTCCCCGAAGCCCCCAAGTCCAGGCAGGTACTTCCTGTGGAGCCTGAGTTGGAGGTGGTGCCCGCCCCAGCGCTGGGGGCGCTGCTGGTACAGAGACAATCGGACTAGATGTGCTTGGTCTTCAGTGACTCAGGAAGGTGCCTCGCTTAGTTCTGCACCATTCCTGGGTTTTTCCACTTGTTCATCTTGAAAGTTGTTCCAAGTCAGTATCTATAGCTCAGTCTTGTTCTAAGCGCTCACTGCCAGCTATTGCACAGCACGAATGCATGGGCCGGTCTTTGGAAAGAGTTCTATTTTCATCCCACAAAGAAAAGAGAAATGTCACCATTAAAAAAGACACAAACTAGAAATGTCACCATTAAAAAAGACACAAACGAAGGACAAATGTACAAACCAAGAATATAACATTTTATTCATTTCCAGATTATGAGTATTACAAGCATATACATATATTTAGATAATATATAAAACAAAGAACAAACCGTAGAAAGAGATTTTGGTCTGAAATGGACACCTTTAATTCTGTAAGCTCATGGGAAGTTATCTCCCACGCGCTGGGGTGGCAGCGGGAAAAACGCCAGGAGCCCCGCATCCCCACTGTACTTACGATGCGTTACGTACGGCATGGTCACTGTGTCCGCGACAAGGGACACCAAGGAGTAGACAAAAGAACCACAGCACAGTGAACTAATAGAAATACTTGTTTTTCTGCATTGTCCTCCAGAGTTTCCTTTAAAACTAAGAGTCAGGTCCAGGGTCTATCCCTTGAGTTGCATTCCAGTTATTGCTGAAGGGGAAAAAGAGGCATCCATTCAAGTTATCAGAAATAGATGGTCAGTGCCCTGATCCCCTAGCTCTGTGGCACGCAGGATGCTGAGCTGCAGGAAATGCACACGTCAGCAGCAGGCAGGTAGCGCTGCCATCGTGTCAGAGGAGAGAGCAACGGGCTGATAAAGAGGTTCCATGGACCCTGGCCAGTGTTTCTCAGTGGTTAGTGTTGGCCTGTGGATCAAAGGGTCAAGAGCATGTACCTCAGTTGCGGTTTGATCCCCAGCACTGGTCGGGCATGTGCGGGAGGCAACCAATTGATGTGGCTCTCTCACATCGATGATTCTCCCCCCCTCCCCGCTCCCTCCTCCCTCCCTTTCACTCTCTCTAAAAATTAATGGAAAAAACACCCTCCGGTGAGGATTTTTAAAACAGTGGTTTGATGGGTGCCTGTGACTCCCTGCACCCCGAACCCCCAGGAGGGGCTGGATCACCTGTGGAGGTGGAGGAGCACAACAGAACCTTCCAGGCTCATTCCTGACTCGGTGCTGGCGGCCGGAAGACTCAGGTCTTAGGATGGAAAGGCACCCCATTCTCCACGCCAATGCAGAGAGGCCGTGCAGCCGACCAGGGCGAGCACTTTCCAGGACACAGCCTCCCGACCCACCGCCTGGCTTCCTCGGGGGTCCTGGCTGCTTACCTTCCCCTTGTTCTGAACTGGGAGGTAGAGTTTGAACTCCGCTGGCAGTTCATCTTCTGAGTACAGTCTGTCTGAGAAGTAAACCCGGCGGATGCGGCAGTTGGCGTGGATCTGTGGGCGCCAGGCTTATTTTGAGAAACTCAACGTAACTGTCCTTCCTCATCTCCCGGTCCTCCTAGAGCTCCCCCACCCCATGGTGCTGTCCAAGCGTCATCCCCTAGGCGTCTCCTGCTTGGCCTGGGGTGGATTCTGACAAGAGGGATTTGCTCGCCATATTCTCCCGCTACCTCTGAGCAGAACCCCCTGCAACTTGGGGGCCTGATCCAGAAACCCACTCTTCTGTCATGTGGACCCAAGCCAGTGACAGAGCACCCCCCGTCCCACGGGGGCTCCATCTGGAAAGGGCCTGGCACCTGCACTCTCAGGGTCTCGATGTAGTTGGTGCCGTACGCCCGCCGAGTGAAGTCGGACAGGTTGAACTGAATCTGGTTCCAGCCGTCATCCAGCCGCATGGGCATGGTGCAGATGAAGGGCTTCACCCGGGTGGTGCTCTGGTAGTTGCTTGCCCGAAATCGCCGACGCACATTTTTGTCATCTAGTACCTGTGAAATGGAGACAAGAGTCACGGCCCCTCCACCCTGGAAGAAGCTAGCAATCTGGGTAAGGCAAGGACCTGAACTTCCACAGCCCTGATTTCCAAGGCTGAGGCCCAAGGGAGGATAAACAGACCAGACACAGGTCACACTGGATGCAGATGGCCTGGAAGGCGCAAGTTTATCTTATTTGTTGCCAAGACAACACCAGCTGCTTATGACATATGACGCACCCACCCGTCAGGCTCTCAGGCCATAGAATGACTTCATAAACATTCTTCCCTTTGAAAATAAAAACTACGAGAAATAGCCTGGCCAGTGTTGCTTAGTGGTTGAGCGTGGACCCATGCACCACATGGTTCAATTCCAAATCAGGGCACATGCCCAGTTATAGGCTTGATCCCCAGTAGGGGCGTGCAGGAGGCAGCCACTAGAATAGAGACCAACAATAACTCAGCATTAAACAGTTACTCCCCAAATGAACACTACTCTAACCCTTAAGTTTTGAAATCTTATCGCTATAGTTAAATTTACCGTTTCTTTAAAAACTCGGCATTAAATTACGATTACTAATACCAAATGTATGTCAAAATAATAAGGGCTGAATCAAGTTTACGGCACAGGCAGTAAAGAAGACATTTTCCTACAGGCTGATGGGACACCTCTCTGGCACAGCCAAGAACATGTACATTCATGTGCGCACACTTACCTGTACTTCAAAAGTAAAGTATTTCTTCAGGTTTTTAATAATCATGACAAGGAATGGAAGTTTAATTCCTAATGTCTTCTTTGGGTCTGCAGGGCATGTGATGTATGTGGTGCTGTAGAGAAGGAAATGCCAATAAACACACTACTGATCCTTTCCTCTGTATACGAACAGCAACAACCCACAGCCCAAGAGGATAAATCGAAAGGCAGATCTACTAGTTCCAGACACATCAGCCAATGAAGCCCTCAACCCTTAAGTCAGCTAATGCTTTAAAAAACGCTGCGCCCTGACTGGTTTGGCTCAGTGGATAGAGCATCGGCCTGCGGACTCAAGGGTCCCCGGTTCGATTCCAGTCAAGGGCATGTACCTTGGTTGTGGGCACATCCCCAGTCGGGGGTGTGCAGGAGGCAGCTGATCAAAGTTTCTCTCTCATCAATGTTTCTAGTTCTCTATCCCTCTCCCTTCCTCTCTGTAAAAAATCAATAAAATATATTAAAAAAAAAAAATTTAAAAAACGCTGGACTCTGGCCCTGGCCAGGTGGCTCAGTTGGTTAGAGCATTATCCCATACACAAAGGGTTGAGGGTTCGATTTCTGGTTAGGGAACATACTTGGGTTGCAGGTTCGATCCCCAGTCAGGACGTATACAGGAAGCAATTGATTGATGTTTCTTTCTCACATCATTGTTTCTTTCTTTCTCTCTCTCTCTCTCTCTCTCTCTCTCTCCCCCCCCCCCTTCCTCTCTCTCTAAAAATCAACAAGAACATATTCCCGAGTAATTAAAAAAAAAAAAAAAATGCTGGACTCTGAAACAAAAGCTCAACGTAGGACTAGACACCAACAATAAAATACCTGAAAAGCAAAACCAGACCAGTGGATCTGAGGCAGTTCTTCCAGTGAGAGAAGATCTACTTCTGGTCTAAGAGAACCAACAAATGATAGAAAGCCAAAACTAAGACCATTTTGGCACCAAAACCCACAATGGCCACCCCCACCACACACACACCTTGGTTAAATATTAATAATATCTAATATTTGCACAGCGCTTAACATGTGCTAAGCAGATTCTACTAGGCAGTGTTTTATCCACATTCGCTCATTTAATCTGCACAACAGCCCTTCAGGAAAGATGTACTGTTCCCCCATTTTACAGATGGGGAAAGAAAGGCCAAGGAGACGGAGTAACTTGCCAAGTTACAGCTCCAAGTAGCAGGGCTGGATTCACACCAGGTGGCCTGACCAGGCAGCCTGTGCCTTTCGCCTCATGAGGTACCGCCTCCTTGGACAGTGTCTCTAGGAAAACAGAGTTCAACCTACCTGACATTTGTTCCTTCAATCTCCAGCACCAGGGACTGGATGTCATTATCAGTGATTCTTTTGATGTGGCCATTCCGCACCTAAAAGGAAGAAAATTAAACTGGTTAGTACTGAAATATTTGGCAACAACTTTAAGATTCTGAATGGGACCGTTTAAAGAAAACCACAGTGGGCCAGAGGGGTTTAGCACGGAAGTCTGTGACATGCTATGCTGAAGCTTATGTGTAAGCAAACCAGGCTATTACTGCTATGCCGGGTCCCATCAGCCACCACAGGAATCACAGGGAACTCAGCAACCTATAAATCAGGATAAACTTCTTCCCGAAGAAATCAGCTCCATTCATTCAGCTAACGTTTAATGAGTTCCTACTCTGCATTAGAACATTCACATACATTCTCTCACTTAATCCCTCCCACACAACAAAAACCACAAGGCAGGTGGCACTGTTTCCACTTTACACATGTGGACATCGACACCCAGGGAGTGCAGATGTCAGCTCCTAAGTCAGAGCGTCAGGACGGCGACCAGGCCGGCCACTGCTCCAGGCTGCCTCACTCTTCTTCAGCCAGAAAGGCAGGTGCTGAGTGTCACTGAGGAGGAGCAACCAGAACATAAGCGCTGCTCCCCCAGGTTTACTCCTACTTCATGCTTCCTTACCTTCTCTCCCCGGAGTTTCTACTTTTTCAAGTAGGAACTCAAGTCCCATCTGTGCCCCACACAGAAGCCTTCATTAGCATTTCCAGCCCACACTGACCTCTCCGACTTGTTTTCCTGGCTTAAATAGCCCACACTACACAATTCAGCTCTTTATCCTACCTTGTTTTGTATTGTCTGCTGCATATGTAGGAGGTATATGAGGGGAAGGAATCAATATTCGATACAGGTGCCTCCTCTCAAAATATTTAGGAAAGAAGAATTACCTTCAAGCAATCAACTCTTAAGCACCTAATAGGAACAGAGCAGAGATGTGCAAAGATACCTCAGAGACAGGGCTGGACTGCTAGGGCTGAACATATTAACACCTGAAAAGGAGCAACAGCTTTAGAGCAGGACTCATCAGAAAGACAAACATGGTCTTTTTCTAGGGACGGTGAGACGGGCTGTGTTGGGCTGTTTGTCGAATTCAATAATTGTTCATTTGGCTTCCCATTAGATTCCCATAAGGGAGAGAACACAGTGTCCAGTCCGTCTGATAGATGTATTTTTCTTTCCTTTTTTTGTTAATCCTCACTTGAAGATATTTTTTCCCCACTAATTTTAAGAGAGAGTGGAATAGAGGAGGAGAGACAGAGAGAAACATCGATGTGAGAGAGACACATTGATTGGTTGCCTCTAGTAAGCGCCCCGACCAGAGCTGGGCATGGAACCTGCAACCGAGGTACATGCCCTTGACCAGAACTGAACCCCTGACCCTTCAGTCCACGGGCCAATGATCTAACCACGAACCAAACCAGCCAGAGCTAATAGTTGTCTTTTTCACCATAGGTTATTAATAATGTCATCCTATTTTTAAGCACCAGTCTCCGAGCTCTGTTACTGTGAACTTGATCCACTCGTGGTGTGCTTGGCGTTCCCCAGTGACATCTGCTATCACTGGCCATCTTTTTCTACACGTTGCAACTGAGTCTTATCTTCTCAAAAAAGTGTGCTTAGGGGTAGGGACCAAGTATTAAGCATCATTTGTATCGTCTACAATGCTCAGTACTGTGCTAGGCATACGGTAAGCACTCAAATATTTGCTGACTTCTGGACTTTGTCACTCTAAGAGCTGGCACATATGAATAGTTTCAAGAAGGGTTTTAAAACATTCCTGGATAACATATCCACCATGAACTACTAACAGGAAGCCAGAGATCCTGGGTGCCTCACACCACAGAGCCCAGGAGGCTGCCAGCAGGAATGCTTCCCCACAAATCATCCTTTGGTGCCCACTGTCAGAGACAGACTGCGAGGTGGACGGGCCCGATCTCTGCCAATGTGGCATTTCTTGGTTCTCAAGGCACAAATGTCACATTGACGTGCTTCTCAAACGAAGCTGCTGACATCCAATGCCCTCCTGCTTCGGATTCTAGGCCTCGTGCCAAGGGAGATTAAGGGCACAAAGCTTGGATCTGTGTAGCATATGCCGCCGCTGCCCACCTCATCCCCCACAGGAACCCTGCCATCCAAGTGGCAACAGCCCTCTAGTTGCCGGCCCACAGCTGCTGGGGAAAAGCAGACGGTGTTGGTGAAGGAGGACTTAGTCATGAAATTATTTCCAAATCATGTGATGATAAGAGCTGGCAGTATTCTAACAAGATGCAAACACCAATTCTGTAACATAATTATTCCCTGTAATCTAGCTTCATTCTTTCCTTAAAAGGTAACTAAGGCAATACTCAAACAGATGATTAAATTGAAAGGATTAAGTATTTAGTGCCCATGGGCTACTACTGCTAAAGTGCAAATTGTTGCAATGTATCCAACACTGTTTCAAAGCACTGGCCGCAGATGTGACATCCCCACGGCCTCACTCCAGAAGGCCTAGCGGGCTTCACAGGGCGGGGGCACGGGCGGGAGCGTTAGGGAAGCTGCCTCTATCATCTCAGTGTCGACTTTCAACGACTTCCTAAAGAGAACTTTCTCTCAGCCACATGGCAACAACCACACTCGCACACTTATTTCTTACAAAATTAATGAATGTGGCCCCCAAACAAGAGAACTCAGGGGAACCGAGGCAGCTTTTTTGAAGGGATGCCGATCAGTCTCGCGTTTCAGCCTGGCGGGTGGTGAGACAAGCCTAGGAGAGTTTTGCCCAAGGAGCAAGCTCAGGCCTCAAAGAAGAAAACACAGTATTCTCACATCCCAAGCTGCCAGTGCTATGAAATCAAATTATGTTGATCTATCAGTGAATGATGATTTTTTCCCTTTATTGAAGTTCAAGGGCTGCAAATACAAACTCATGGGGAGAAAAGGATGGAGGTAGATGGAGATGTGATTAATCAGAGATGTGAGCACTGAGAGGGTGCGAAACCTCCCAAGCCTCTTCTCTGGGCCCTAGAACTAGGATGGAAAGGGGAAGGAGTGTGGGCAAGCTTCCTACCCCCCTGGCAATCCGGCTCATGTCTACTGCAAGGTCTTCCAGGAAGCAACCCCCTCCTCAGTCCCGCTTCTGACCAACACTGATAACAGGACACATGGCCTCAGAAAGCATCCACTTCCTGTCCTCAGCCCCTTCCAGGTCAGAGGTCGCTCGGCAGGCCGGCTTTGAAATGAAGATAAGATGAGCTGGCAGCATTTACTGCTCATGGTGGAAGCAGGTTTTCTTTTACTTCCCTCTCTAAATTAGAAAGTGCCAATTATTTGTGACATTAATTCTTTTTTATTTCATAACACATCCCCACTATCAAAGTGTGGCCTATACGTGTTTTATTCCCCCAAATAAATAAGTAAATAAATAAAGCCAATCTTACAGTTGTTAAAAGTTCATCAACTCCCCAAGCGATGAGCTGGAGGTACTTTAGGAGCCTCAGCACCCAGGCAACTGACAAGTGCCAGTCAGAATGGTCCTCAGCCTCTGCCGACACCAGGAAGAGCACATCCAGCCCTTCGTGCGATCACTCTCCCAGGCTTTCCATCGTTGCTGGGGCAACTAATAAGCAACACTGACTTAAGCCCCAGGGAGGAGGGTCAAGCTGAGGGGGAAATACTACTGGGAGGAAGCTGGCCAATGTTCTCTATTTCTACAGGTGCGTTAAAAATAACATAGGAGTGGTTTCCATTTCCTACCCCCACCCATTTCTTTTTTTTTTCTGGTTCCACCCACTTATCCTGGCAGACAGCTGAGCCCCCAGCCATCTGGTATCCTAGTCTAAACGACACATGTTCCAATTTACAGTGAGCCATTAGCGCTGTCCGTTTCAGCAAAACCAGCTCTGCTAGGGGGCTGGGCTCCCTCAAAAAATGGGCAGAGGGAGACCTCTGTGGGGAGAGCTGGGCATAGCTCCGCCGCAAGGCCTTGGCCTCCCAGGCTCCAGCGGGTCACTCCACAGGGCAATCAGACAGCAGCCAGGCAACTCGGGGCGCGTGCAACACACCCTGAGCTCAAGTAAGGACAGTGGTGTGCGTTGTTAACCAGTATCTTTGTAACAGCGCCTCCACAGGGCAAGTGTCACTAAAACCAGGCCTTTGCCCAATTGTAGGAAAAGCTGTTACTCAGAACAATGGAGAACACCATCAGGCTGACCCAGGGAAAGTCTGAAAAAAAAGAGTTTTCCTACCTTCACGTCCGAGTGCTGTCAATTCGACTACTGGAAATTGCATCAGTTTAGCATGGACCAACAAGGTTCACTCATTAGAAGCTGGGGCGTGGGAGCTTCTTTCTGGAGACTTCGTTCACTTTTTAAATTAGGAACAGGAAATGGGAATCGAATACCATCCAGCAGCAGCCACAGAGACTCTGGTTCTAATATTTAGCTTAGGAATAGGGGAGGGGCAGCAGCTGAGAGAGCGCGGAGGTGAGAGGAGACAGACAGAGCCTGTAGCAATTAACATTCTCACCTACTAGGCTGTTAGGGTATTACCAGTGAGGAGAGAGTGATGCGTTACACAGGCAGTCAGTAGGAACAAAGCTCCTGGTATTTTCTTTACAAACCAGAAGTAATGTTTACAGTACACGTAAGAGTCCTTTAATCAATGTAATACTTACTAGGCCTAGAAATTAAGGAAACCTTAAGAAACCCCTAATTTCTCCTAAGCTCTTGGTTTGAAAAATTGCAAAGCTTATTAGAAAGCTTCCAGTCTAGCCAGGAATACAGATCGTAAGAAGCTAATTTCTATTGCCTAGCTGGTTTGGCTCAGTGGATAGAGCGTTGGACTGCGGACCGAAGGGTCCCAGGTTCGATTCCGGTCAAGGGCACATGCCTGGGTTGTGGGCTCGAGCCCCAGTTGGGGGTGTACAGGAGGCAGCTAATCAATGATTCTCTCTCATCATTGATGTTTCTCTCTCTCTCTCCCTCTCCCTTCGTCTCTGAAATCAATAAAAAAATATTTTTTTTAAAAAAGAAGCTAAGCCCTAACTGGTTTGGCTCAGTGGAGAGAGCGTCAGCCTGTGGACTCAGGGGTCCCAGGTTCGATTCCGGCCAAGGGCATGTACCTTGGTTGCGGGCACATCCCCAGTGAGGAGTGTGCAGGAGGCAGGTGATCGATGTTTCTCTCTCATCGATGTTTCTAACTCTCTATCCCTCTCCCTTTCTCTCTGTAAAAAAAATCAATAAAATATATATATTTTTTTAAAAAGCAGCAGCAGCAGCTAATTTCCAGTGTGATTGAGGGCCCTGGCCGGGTAGCTCAGTTGGTTAGAGCATCATCCCGGTACACCAGGGTTTTGGGACAATCTATCTCCGGTCAGGCACATACAAGAAGCAATGGAAGAATGCATAAATAAGTGGAACAACAAATCAATGTTTCTCTCTGTCTCTCAAAACAATATATTAAAAAATTTTTAAAAGTCAAGTGTGATTGAGTATGATGAAAAGAAGGAGAAATTCTGCAAGGGGACAGACATTAACCCAAGGGAGTGCTTGTAAGCTGTGGCCTAGAGACTCAAGTAGAGGTGGAGGCACAGGTCCCAGCAGAGGGACCAGCAAATACAAAAGCCTGAATGAAGGTGAGAGAGAACACGGCTCCTTTCAGTTCAGTAGGTTCAATAGACAGGCGTCCAGGACAGGTGAGCCAAGGGCAGGTGAGCCTGGAGAACTAGGTAAGTAGGCTCTAGACCAGTGATGGCGAACCTTTTGAGCTCGGCGTGTCAGCATTTTGAAAAACCCTAACTTAACGCTGGTGCCATGTCACATATAGAAATTTTTTTATCTTTGCAACCATAGTAAAACAAAGACTTATATTTTTGATATTTATTTTATATATTTAAATGCCATTTAACAAAGAAAAATCAACCAAAAAAATGAATCCGCGTGTCACCTCTGACACGCGTGTCATAGGTTCGCCATCACTGCACTAGACCATGCTAAGGGTTTTGGACTGGGAAAGCCATGATAAAATGATTAAATTACGTATCCTGATATCAGAAGTCTGGGCTTCCGATTCCTCAGCATCTGAATACTGAGCTCAAACATAAACTTTTTTACTCTTGAGCAAACCCCTCCGTTTCCTGCCCTATTTAATATTGTATGCTATAACTCTGTTGCTAAGCATGCATATACATCTTCATTTCATCTCCATAACCAGGAGAGAGGGGGGGCATTACTGTAAGATGGGAAAACTGAGGAGTTAAGCACTTGCCCAAGGTCACACAGCAGAGGACCTGAGACAGACCAGGCCACAAATCCAAGGTGCCTGATGACACTCCAGCACTGAGGTTTCAAGGTCAGAGACTACTCCTCCCCTTTAGGAACTTGTAGTCTAGAGGGAGATACCTCACTTATGCTCTCAATGAAATGTTTAAGTTGAGATCTGAGGGATGAGAAGGGGAGAGGGGCTGTGAATCTCAAGGAGTGGGATACAAATGTAACCACACCCACAAATACGGAGTTTGCAAATTCACGGGTATTTTGAATATGACATTCACTCCTCACATTCATAAGGAGACACAGAGCCTAAACAGAAACCAAGCCTAATTTTTCCAAGATTATTCTTCGCAGAAAACAAATCACAGGAATTCTCTCTCCATAAACTCAGGAAGGAAAAATAGTAAAATTCTGTGAAATCAAAATAATAATTGAAAATATGCATTAGAGCCAATATGATGTGCTTACTGGCAAAGGTTGGGATCATTTTGTTGTTAATCCTCTCCCAAGGATATTTTTTCCATTGACTTTTAGAGGAAGGGAGGGGGAGAGACACAGAGAGAGAAACATTGATGTAAGAGACACATCGATTTGTTGCCTCCTGCACACACCCGACCCGGAGCCGGGGATGGAGCCTACAACCGAGGTATGCGCCCTTGACTGGAATCAAACCGGAGACCCTACAGTCGGAGGGCCAACACTCTAACCACGGACCCAAACTGGCTAGGGCCAGGGTCATTTCTTGATCAATGTGAACAGTCCTTTCTTTTCTCCATCAAGTTTTGCCCTCATCTCCAGCAGGGAAAATACTTCTCGAATTCTGTATCTCCTCAAATCTACACAATGCCTGTCACTTAGCTGTTGTTCAATAAATCTTTGATAAGTATATCAATTCCCAGGGTTCCCTGGACCAAACTGGACTCCCAACACTTCCTGAGGACCTTATGGTACAGCGAGAAAAGGCAGGTATAACAAAGCCTGTGCATCTGGCCCCAAGCTTTCTCTTTTTCTCCCATTCCTTCCCTTGCCGCAGGGGAAGAATTTTGCTTAAAATGAGTGTTCTTCTACAGCAGCGGTTCTCGACCTGTGGGTTGCGAGCCCTTTGGCGGTCGAACGACCCTTTCACAGGGGTCATCCTGCATATCAGATATTTACATGACGATTCATAACAGTAGCAACAGTACAGTTATGAAGTAGCCACGAAAATAATTTTATGGTTGAGTTACAACATGAGGAACTGTATTTAAAGGGCCAGAAGGTTGAGAACCACTGTTCTACAGTTTTCTTTGCCAAAATTTACTCCATGTACTCCACCAGTTGATCTAGCAATGTTTTCACATGTGTTTATGTCATTCGGGTACCATCCGACCTCTAGTGGCGTTGTTAAGGGACACAGTGTGCCATGGTTACTTTGCTTCTATGTTCCATGTGTAAACATGTTGACTAGTCAAAAAGCGGCATTAGAAAAATAACTACAGAAGAGCAAGCCCAGAAGGGTTCAATGGGCAACTCTAATCCAGGTGTCACGCCACAGAACTGCCGAGGTCCGAGCACTGAATTCTCAGTGTAAGGTCTCCTCCTCCATCGCGTCCCATTCTCTATCTCATTGCCTTACACTGGCACTTGGTTACAATTCCAAGTTCAAGGGGCACACAAGGCCACTCTCCCCATAACTGAGTCAAGCCACGCTGAGAAGCCTTGCACAGTTCCCAGTTTCCTGGTCCCCTGGCTGCGGGTTCTCTTCGCGGAGTCTATGAGGTTTGATTCCACTGTGAACAAAAGCACGCACCGGAACCCTTAGCGACGTAGGAAAAGGGTGAAGGAACTGCTCTCCTGTGCAATACTCTGGGCATGAGCTCTGGGCGGCGGTGGTCCGGCTCCCGGCACCCACTTACGCACAAGGCCCAGACCTGTTACACTCCAGTCTTTCAACGACCTTTTCAAAAGGACATTGTGAGCCGCCACCTGCCACCTGGAAGCTGCTCGCAGAACACAGGGCTCCCCAGGGGTCGCAGGCAGCAGGCGGTCCCCGTTCTCTCCCAATTGCTGTGCAGCCCGACATGCTCACCGGCGGGTAAAGGAAGACAGAAAAGTCGTTCTCAGGTGAAATCCCCAGCTCTTGGCTTCACCACCAGTAAACCTCTCACTCAGGTTATTCCGCTTTCATTCTCCCCCGGGGAGAGCATGACCACGGTTAGACCCTCAGTGACCAGCCTCCCTCCCAGTCAGCGCCAACCTTCCCGTCTATGAAGGAGAGGGTGCAGCCAGCTGGCTGTGAGGGAGTTTGCATGAGAAATGAAATGTCAAGGTAACAAAATGCAGACCAACCCTCAGGCTGCCAGACACACACGCCCCCCACTGCACATCTCCAAAGAGTGGACGGGGCCATGGCCTCCTGGGGTCAGTGTCGGGGCCATCCTGTGGATGCCTGAAGACCGACCCTGGGCTTGGACGGGGCTGCGGGTTTATTCATGCCGACAAGACTCCATCACCACCCTGCCATTTCCCTGCTGGAGAAGGCAGGCACTGAGGGGGGGCAGGCCACAGGCCCCCGGTCACCCCGAGTGTGCAGCAGGTGCACGGTCTGACCCGTTTGGAATCAGTAGGGGGGGGGGGGGGGACAAGCGAAGGAAGCCCAAATAGAACTGGTTCTGGAACAAAAGCTCCGTGTCTGGCCCTGACTGGTTTGGCTCAGCGGATAGAACGTCGGCCTGTGGACTGAAGGGTCCCGGGTTTGATTCCGGTCAAGGGCATGTACCTGGGTTGCGGGCACATCCCCACTAGGGAGTGTGCAGGAGGCAGCCGATCGATGTTTCTCTCTCATCCATGTTTCTAACTCTCTATCCCTCTCCCTTCCTCTCTGTAAAAAATCAATAAAATATATTTAAAAAAAAAAAGCTCCGTGTCTGGCGCCCAGCACCGCGCCTGGCACCGGGCAGGGTATCCGTCCATATCGGTGAGATCCGTGAACAGCAGCTGCTTTCATCTCTTCGTTTCCAAAACAACCGCCAGCAAGTGTGTGCCGTGCGAGGCCCTATGGACTCCGCCGGGTACAGACGGGGGTACAGACCCGGACACCCCAGCTCCGAGGAATGGACGGACCAGGTCAAGTCTGCGGCGAGGAACCCCTGAGCGAACCACACAGCTCGGCCCCTGGACACCTAGACCCCAGCCACTCCCACCCAGACGGCCCCCCGGCTGTTTACACGGCGCCCCCCCCCCCCGCCCCGAGCCCCGGCCTGGCCTCCCCCGGCCCCTGACCTTCTTGTCCCAGATCTGCAGCGGCTTGCTGCCGATGCTGTAGAGGATGGAGAGGAAGCCGCTCTGGAACGTGTTCTTGAACATCTCGCAGGCGGCCTTCTCCTCGGCCGCGCCGGAGCGACCTGGCTACGGACCCCAAGTGGCGAAACAGGGGGGGCCGGCTCGGGTTCGAACAAGGGACGCTGAGCGACGGGCCTCGGGGTCGACAGCCACCACCGCCTGGACTCGGGACGCCACGTCCGGGAGCTTCCGCTCTCACAAGAACGAAGGCGGGACGGGAACCACAGCAACTGCCGCCCGAACCGCGCTCCCCGCCTTAAGTGGAGGCGGCGAGCCACCCGTAGCTCGACGTGGATCCCTCCGCCCACTTGGGCCCGCCCCCTGGGAGCGCGGAGCCAATCCCGCCGTGGGGATCGCGGACTTCCTGTTCCTTCCGCCGTGAGCCCCGCCCTAGTTCCGCCTCCTCGTGAAGAGAACGCCTTTGCCAAGGGACTATTTTTCTCCGTCGTCATCGCAGAGCTTTTGGAAGCGTAAGGAGACGTGACGATAGAATGTGTTTTCGACACCTGCGTGCTGTCATGGGAACCCGGCGGCGGTGGGGTCAGAGGGCGGGAGGGCCAGGCCCCGCCCCCTGAGGAGCGCGGAGGAGTTACAAGCCGGAAAGAAAAGTGGAGCAAGGCGCTTGGGATGAGGTGCTAACCTGGAACCCCGCGATGCCAAGGAAGCTTGCTGGCCGAGGCCCAGATGAGTGAAAGCAGTAACCTGGATTGGCAGTAACTGTACCAGGCGCCTGTGTGCACCCTTGCTTTCATTGCTAACAGGGTTGCTATGAGCACGCCGTGTATGCGTGGATATGTGGGATGCAGTCAAAGCAACACTCTGAGGAAAATATATCGCCTTAAATGCGTTATTATTATTAGCAAACAAGAAAACCTGAACATCCAGATAAAAGCAGAACTTAATAAAATGAAACAAAATAAAATCAAGTTGGTTGAGTTGAATAACAGCTGATTTTCTTTGTAAAAAAAAAATCAATACTCAGCACAGTTTTAAAAAAAATAAGACATAGCCGAAACCGGTTTGGCTCAGTGGATAGAGCGTCGGCCTGCGGACTGAAAGGTCCCAGGTTCGATTCCAGTCAAGGGCATGTACCTGGATTGCGGGCACATCCCCAGTAGGAGGTGTGCAGGAGGCAGCTGATCGATGTTTCTCTCTCATCCATGTTTCTAACTCTCTATCTCTCTCCCTTCCTCTCTGTAAAAAATCAATAAAATATATTTTTTAAAAAAAAGACATAAAATAAGCTATGGTATTTCGTATGGGAAAGATATCTGAAATGGTGGAGACCACTCACTGAGCATCTCCGTGCACAAGCTTGTGCTGGGTATGGTGGCTGACAGGGAGTTTGCAGCTAACTTCCTCCTCATAATCTATACTAATAAAAGGGTAATATGCTAATTAGACTGGACATCTTCCGAACATCTTCCAGGCATCATCTGGACGTCCTTCCAAACAAAGCCACAGTGGCAGGGGCCGAGGCAGAGGTGATTAGGGGCGATCAGGCCGGCAGGGGGGAGCAGTTAGGAGTGATCAGGCCGGCAGGGGAGGGCAGTTAGGGGCAATGAGGCAGGCCAGCAGAGTGGTTAGGGGCGTTCAGCAGGCAGGCAGGCAGAGTGGTTAGGGGTGATCAGGCAGGCAGGCAGGTGAGCAGTTAGGAGCCAGCAGTCCCAGATTGCGAGAGGGATGTCTGGCTGCCGGTTTAGGCCCGATCTGGGTCCCAGATTGTGAGAGGGTGCAGGCTGTGCTGAGGGATCACCCCCCTTGTGCACGAATTTTGTGCACCAGGCCTCTAGTAGCTAATAATAGCTAACATCAACTGAGTATTTATGTGTCAGGCACTATACTAAGCGCCTTAGCCTTTATTAAATCATTTAATCCTCACAGCAACCCCGTGAACAACTGAGCCAGAATTTCCAGACATTGGGTTGCGGGGGGGGGGGGGGGGGAGGATATGGATTATATTACAGCAAAAAGTCAAAACATTCTATATGAAACTGTTATTCTTGAATTATTTCTGGGGACTCTGTATACTTTATGCCAGTGAACAATTTATCCCTTGATTGTTATTAAATTTCTCAAAATATCCTAGGGGGAAACGGGCTTAAGTGCCCTGAACAGATACCCAGCTCATCAGTGAGCAAGCTGATGGGAGAAATGAAAGTGCTTGCTTCTCCTCATCCTGAATGAGTGTCCACATGAACTGTGTCCAGTTCTTCCTTCTGTTCAGGTTCACAGCTTATTGTGATCACAAGCCTTGGCTAGAGTGAAGATTATTCGATGAAAGGATTAAAGAACATGAATTAGTGTTTAGTGGACATGTTTTGCTCCTATTGTAGAGTTAATTTTGGCATGCTTCTTCCAGATGCAGTACCACCATCATGACAGGCACACAATAAATGAATGAATGAATGAATGAATGAATGAATGAATGAATGAACAAACTAGAGCCAAATGTGCACTTTGACATTTTTCTTCATTTCAAAAGTAATGTAGACTGAAATAACCTAAAACTACAGATGTCACTCAAAGAAACACATTAAACACTACGTCTTCAAGATCGTTTTCTCTTCATCAACATGAAGATGCGTAAAGGCAGAGCACAAGAAAAATCTTGCTAATAAGTTGCTTCCTGCAGTAATTATACAAGTCAGTTTTTAAAAGTAATAAATGAAAAGAGCAAAATCTAATGAGGCAGCAACATTGCAATCTGGGCAGTAGGTACAGAAGCTCAACTGATACACATCAGGCCATTAAAAGTTGCAGAAAAGGTAAAGTAATTGCATGAAGTGCAAGATAAGGGTGGTCTAGAGAATCCCATGACTACAAGAAGGGCTTTAGTTTGTTAGCCTGAAGTCCGAGTTGAATCATCACAGAAGTAGCATCCAGTCCTGTGCCCGGCCCAGAATCTCTGACCATGAACAAACCACAGTCCTGTGTTTGGATGGAATATGACATCTTGGTGGGGTGTCAAAATATACCAAGAGATTACAGCAAACAAATCAAACCCATATCAATAATCCATGTCAGATGAGGGAAAGTTTCTGATTATTGTGACATTTTGTTTGTTATTAAAGATATTTGAAATATTTAAAATAACTTAAAGTATTAGAGGATCTGATACTTGCAGTTTAATTTGAAATGCTTCAAGGAATTTGAAATTAGTTCTGTGATTTTTTAATTTAAAAGTGTCAAAGGAAATGTAATTAAATTTGTAAACGATGAATGTTTAACATTTTTGGTCTACTGTTTGGATGCTTAGGAAGATTGCATCAGAATTTTGGTCTTTCATGTTAGCTATTGGAAGTGTTTGTGCACATCAAACAGATTGAATGTGTGGGTGACTGTGAAATGTCTAAGGAAACTAGATTGTGTGGGAACAGTGTTTATGGTTTAACCCGTTCCGTTTTTAATTAATCCAGCATCGATCAAAGATTAAACCAGTGTTCATATTTATATACAAAGCCTCCTAGTTTGTAGTGATAACAAGATTTGTAAATTGATTTCAAAGACACAAGACAAATGAGATTTTTCAATGTACAACTTTAATAACTGAGATATTATGTAAAACACCAGCAACTATAAGAATCCTATTCAGTGCGCAAAAACCCTGGTCAGATGCTACAACCCAGTGGACAGCGTCTGTTCATGTCCATCCAAACCCATAAACTCAGAGCACCCGGCCTCTGAGACATGGGACTTGATACATACTGTAAGGCCAAGTTTATTCTTTACCCCTCCTTGCTGATGGGGATGAGGAGAACAGCGATGGCTGGGGCGTTCAGCTGGCAGATGGAGGACCCCCGAATCCAGTGGCTGTACCCCAGCACCACCAGCCTTGACAACACCAAGTAAAGGAGCCAGTAGTGGGCAGATGAGGCTCCTTTGACTGTGAGAGCGAAGCTCAAATGGGACTTGGTTGGGCCCTTGCACATTATTGTTAGGTTAAAATTGATTTTTAAACTTACAGTAAAATGCCCTCTTTCTGGTGTGTAATTTTGATGAAGGCACCGAGTCATATAACCACTGCCATGTGCAGAATGCAGAACAGCTCCGTCACCCCCCAAATTCTCCCATGCTATCCCTTCGTAACCAGACCCTTTCCCCCCCTCCAACGCCCCCTGCACCCCTGGTGACCATGGGTCTGTTCTCTATCCCTACTGTTCTGCCTTTTCCAGAACGTGACATAGACGGGATCATTCAGTAGGCAGACTTTTGAGTCTGGCTTCTTAGCACAATGCATTTGAAATGCACATTATTTTCACAGTTTGTGGAGAATTCCGCAAAGGGTTGCTCACCCATTCTACCGCTCAGCCCCCAAAGACCAGGGGTGTTTGAACAAGTTGGCAGGCCCTCCGCATGCTTACTTTTGAAGGCCTCGCCGCAGCATTTCAAACGCATTCAAAGGCAGCCATTTTCTATATTCAAGATAACCCTTTTCTGTAACCTTGAAAAGATCTTGAGAATTTGCTTTTCAAATTATTTGATTTTGTGATTGTCTGACTCTTCACTAATTATGAGAAAAATACTTTTTTAAGCAAATACTGAATGTAACCATTAATGAAGTTCACAGGACTGGAAAGACATTTAATCACGTTTATTTTTATCTTGCAACTTTCTTATGTTAGAGCCAACACTTTTTTTTTTTCGGGTGGAAAACATTTCTGTGGGCCCCTGGGAAGTCTTAGGCCCTGGGCGCCATGCCCCAAATCTGACAGCACCCCACAAGATCCAACCACTAAAGGCATCACGGTTCCAACCCACACCAGTGAGAGAAGGGCTGGAAGACAGCTTTCTCTGAATCATAACAATGCCCTTTCTTAAAAAAAAAAAAAAAAAAAATCATATGGCACAGGAGTTCAAGTTTTCTAAGAGTTTATCTCACAAACATACATACTGTGTAAAAAAAATGTATGTGCAAATGTGTTCATCACAGCAATACTGACTGGTAATAGTACTGATAAGAGTCTATCAGTAAGCAATGGCTTCCGCTGTGGTACCTCACATAATGGGAAACTCTGCAGGCACGAAAAGGGGTGAGGTAGGTCCATATGTGCTCGCAGTAGGAATTCACAATTAAGTAAAAACGTAAGTTGCAGAAAAAGAATGTAGAGTCTGATTACGTTTCTGTAAAAATAAAAGTCACTGTCGTTTTGAAATGTTAGTAAATGCAGAGGAAACAAACTGGAAGGTACATGCCAAACTTCACCGTGGTCACCACGTTTCTGTATGCCGGTGCCTGTGGGTGGGGAGAGGCTTTCGTTAGGTACTTTGCTGTAACATGACGTTTTTACCATGAGCATGTATTACTTTGATAATCGAGAAAATTCAGTATTACTTCAAACAACCCAGACACAAGCAGGACGAATGAAAGACATGACTTGATGTTCTGAATTTTTGAGCACATCATGGATGGACAATAGACTGCTCTTGAGTTAGCAGGTTCCTTGTCCCTTTTTTTCAAGGTCAAAACCACCAAAAAAAAAAAAATCAAAAAACCCTCCTCTTTCCCCTTTCTACAACCACTCTCCCATTGAGCACATCCACAAAAAACAAGATTCTCTTGGTTGAGAAGTTTCTGGAAAACAAGATGTTCACACCGAGAAGGGAAATTGGAGGACGAAGCTAGAGTTCAAGTTCGGCGTGGCATCTAAAGAACTCCCAAGCCAACGACCGTGCATCTGCTCCGAAGAGACCCTTTCTCCCGGCAGCAGCCCTGCAACCCCGCGGTCAGCACAGCGGTGACATGCTATGTAGAGAGACATGCGCACACGAAGCACCACGTCCACAGGAGTTCCAGGGACACGCTCATGGCAAGGAGATCTTGAGATGCTGTCCCGGAGACCTGGGAGACCAACCGAAATTTGCAGAACTGTAAGTCCAAAAGGGCCTCGTGAGAGAGACCGCTTGAGGCCCCCAGGCCGGTGTTGGAGCTGGAAAGTATTAAGTCCATCCATTCGGTGCCCCGTGGGCCTCACAGTCCGCGGTCGATGGGCCTGCGGGCCTCACTCGCTGGTGTCCAAGGGAACGCATGGTCTTGAGCTCCCACACCCAAGGAACTGCTTGGATACGACAGAAGCTGGCCCAGGGGACACTGTGACCCTGTGACGGCAGAAGGGCCTCTTTGCTTCCCCCCCATAATTGCTTCAAAAACTGTGAGTGTCCACACCTGGATTGTCAGTCACCTGTTCCGGGCAAGCAGCAAAGTCCGGAGAGAGGATGTTGTGCGGACCACGTGGCCTTTGTGGAGAACGGGGTGGGGGGCATCCAGCCGCCTGGGCGTTGGGGTCTGCTCTCTATAGGCAGTGGGAGGGCACAGGCCACCGCCAGACACCAGGCGGTGACACAGCTGTCCTAGGAGGGGAGGACTGAAGGAGCCAGGGAAGGCTCGTTTGTAAAACGGGTTGAGTTTGTTCCCTGGATAAATACAGCCAGTGCTTCCACGCCATCCTATTGATGCGACCAGAAACAGCCCCGGGATGGGGACCTGAGAGCCTGGGCCCTGCCCTGCCTCAGGACAGCGGCCTCCATCCTCCAAGGTAAGATGCTATTTTAGAAGGGGGCTTGGGGGGAGGGAACAGGATTGGGAGGTGGGATAAATACGGAGACAGGAGCAAAGGGAACGCCAAGGGGCTAAGGCACCTTCCTGACTTCACCGGAAGTGGCACGCCTACATCACGGTCCTTGCTTTGCAAGGACCAGTCGAGGGAGGCCAAATGCGTGTTGGAGGCAAAGCCTGGCTTTCTGGGCTCTCAAGTCTCCTTGAATCCGCTGCCGCTTTCCCAGGGGGAGCTCAGCACCCCTCCTCGACTTCCCGTCTCTGTAGAGAGCATCCTGAGCTCCTGCCTCTCCACCTCTGGGACTCCCCCTCTGTCCTCTGGCCAGAGCCTGCCACTGATGCTCTTCTGTGTCACTCAGCCGTCTGGCCATGGGTCTCCGTGAATGGCCCCTTCCATACTGAAACTCTCCATACATTTCTTTTAAAACCTTTTATTCAATAATATATACTTTTAAAATTATAATATGTAACTGCCCATCATGCCATATAAGCCCCCGCGCCCCCGCTGCGGAGTCTGTGGTCTGCTGGAAACCAGGCGGCCACGGGACGCGTCCAGGGGCGCGGGGGAGCAACAGTAACCAACAACCATTTTGCATACCCTTCACATTTCCCATGCTTTCTGGGTCAGGAGGAAGTCAACTGGAAGCCAAAGGCGTGGGAACCTTTTACATTCGGAAGTGAGGTTTGATATACGGTGGTGGGCTGCCCTTCAGTTGGTCTAGTTCGTGCTCGCCAAACCCGCCACCGTTTGTGTCTGCTCACGGCACGTGATCTCTCTACACACGTTAAGACGTTTGATTTGGTTCTTGTTCTGCTTATGGAAAAGTGAGAGGAACCGCCACAGACCTGGGGAAAGAGATGGGAGGAGGGGAAAGACGCATTAATCAATCTGACCAGGAGTGAGGACAGGCCTCCCCTGTCTGTGGCTTCCTCCTGGAGGGGGCCGCGAAGTGTGTGCAAGCCTGCCTTTCCTGTGCCACTTTTCGGGAAACCTAGGGGGACCATGAAATCGGGTTTGGTGTGGTACCCTTTCCAAACTTGCTCTTCTGATCACCATCAAGCGGCAGCCTTTGCACGGCCTTGTGCGAGAGCAAGGGGAAAGTTCTGGACACCACGGGGGTGACCAAGTCTCTTCCTCTCCTCTCAGGTCCGGTTGCACAGGCCACCTCTGGAGCCCCATCAGATCTGATCCACGTCACTGAAGACAGCGTGGGACTAAGAGTTACATGACTGTATTTCTCTGTATGACAGAGAAAGGGCCAAGTCCACTAAAAAGGGGAACTGGCTCATACAGGGGTGAGCAAAGTAGGTTTACAGCTGTTCGTATGGAAAAAGACGTGCAGGTTACGATTATTACAAGTTTCATCAACTCAAAAGAATAGCACAATGGCAGTGTGCTCACAACTGCAAGCCTGCTTTTGCCCGCCCTGTATTTACTCTCCCCTGAAAGCATGGCCTGAACACCATTCCTCCTCCCATGTCCAGCGCAGTGGGGTGGGAGGCGAGATGCCAGCAGAATTCTGAGTCTCAGAGCGGTACCTCAGCCCGAGGGGAAGGACTGCGCACCTGGGCGGCCACAGGAACATCGGTCCGTGAACTCTTGGGGAAAAGAGCTCTACTGCTCAGTATTTGAGAGGCCACGTGGTGCGTACGGCTAAGAAATGAGTTTGCCTTTCCGCGCTTCCGAAACTGACTTCCAAGCATCCAACTCCACAGAGGGACCAGCCGGGGAGAAAAAGAACATTAATTAAAGACACCACCATCTGCCAAACAGCAGCACATGCCCGCGAGGGCTGCAAGGAACGGGGTGGGGAGACGTTCCTAAATGCAGAGCACTGCCACCAAGGCTCAAGTTGTGGGAGAAAACAGGCCAGCCCCAAGAAGCAGGTGTCTGAGGGGTGCAGTTCAGAAGCAAGAACCAAGAACCAGCAATAGGCCCCCTCGCCGACACGCTTCCCGCTGTCTTCACACCGAGCAGATTACTGCAACCACCACAAACATCCCTGCAGTTCCAGGGTTACCCTCCTCTCCCCCGAGACAGGAAACACAAGCTTAAGGTCCGTAGAGCAGGGGCTTGTCGCCCTCTGGGGAAGGCGGGTGACCAACATCTTTATTTAGGCAAAACAGGACTTCCCAGGGCGTTTTTCTTCCCGCTAAGGGCAGCAGCACAGAAATTGTGCATCAGCATCCAGTGCTGCACCGAGGGGGCCACCACTGTGTCTGACACGGTCATCTGTAAGGATCGCAGCCAGGCGGCGCTGCTTTTTGGCAAACGGAAGGCGAGTCGGCTCCAGGGGTCTTGATTTACCCAAGCTTTGCACGGGGTGCCAAGTTTCTGTCCCCACCTCTCAGTCACCATTCACAGCACGAAAAGCCAGCAAGTGAAAAAACGGTTAATTTATTGAGTCAATCAAAGTTGGTTTTTTAAAAACAATCCTCAATACATGTAGTTCAGGAATTAAGTATCACATTTGTAGCACATTGTTGAGTCTCCACACAAAAGTCCGCCCACCTGCACAGCCCCATCGCCTCACCTCACGGCCTGCGTGGGGCCGTGTTCATCAACACATCCATGTAGCTCAGAAGCACATGCCATCGCTGCTTTTCTCAGCTGGTGTTTCCCCACCACCTCCCCTCCCCAGTCCCGTCTTAGAGTTCAGCTCGCTGACAAACTTTGGCTTCCTGTGTGCTCACGTGGACCCTGCTTTTGCTTTCAAAAGGGTTTCTATCTCCGTGACTTCGCCAGGTTGTTACCCACTCCTGTTCAGTGGTAGGAGGGGAGTTTGCTTTCCCCGTGGGTGCTCATGTCGTAATGCAGGTTTCTAAACAAACCATTTCCTCTGTCCTGGCATTAAAGGAAATATTAACTGGGCTCTTAGATCCACTTCAGTGCATATACAAAAACTCCTCCAGTTGTTGCTTGTGTCCCAAAGTAATTTTGCTCCCATCCTCAGCCACGCAGCACCTGGGAGAACCTGTCCTTTCCCTGAGTAGACCCAGGCTGAGCCCCCGCCGCCAGCTCACTGGGACTCAGCATCTGCCTGGAGAGCACCTTGTGGTCCCACTGGCACCAATCCAGGGGGAGTGCCCGCCTCAGGGCGCACCCAGAACATGACCTTTGTGCCCCCAGGTCCTCTCCCCTCGGAAGTCACATTCCCTCTTTCGACTGTTACTGGTTCAGCTTCTCCTTTCACAGCCGGCTGGCCCGGCCTCTCCCAGCCCCAAGGATTCCCAGCTCTGCCGTCTCCGCTAATGAATCCGTCTGAGCACCTTCCTCTTTGCAAGGGAAAACATCTGCTTTGAGCCTCGTGAGTACCGACGTGCTGGAGGGTCTGTCAGGAGACCCAGCGAGTGAGTACCGGTTAAGTGCCCACAGAGCTGGCCTCGGCACGCGCCTCACCGTGAGAAGGCCCACGAATGCTTGGTCTGCACTATGCATGTGATGGCTGCTCCCGCCCAGCCCCCTGCCACGGGGACGGGAGGGGACGGGAGGGGACGGGAGCAGGCCGGCTGATACGACCCAGGGGAGAGTGAACTGCAAGTAAAGCACAGGTGAAAAGATCGAGTGGCAGTTCTGCCCTCCCCGCGGCCGCCTCAGCTGGAGGAACCCCTGCAGCCCTGCTCGCGGGGGCCAGACTGTGATACCCGCCTGGACACGGCACAGGAGCCATTTTCCTCACCGCACCACATCCATGTTCTTAAACACAGGCAGTACCTGAGATGACACTGTAACACTACCCTGTTCCCCACTTTTTTTGCTTTTCTTTAGGAAATAATAAGTCCTTATCATAGGCACTTTTAACCTGTTATAAGGTAATGAAGCAAACAAAATATCAAATGAAAATTACTGAGATGAATTAAGAAATATAGCTAACTGAAAAGGATAGGGGGTGGGTAGATCTACCATAGCTTAGTCTAAATATTAGACACTCTCTCTCACACACACACAGGCACACACCCACACGCACACACACTCACCCCTCTTTCTCAGAACTCTCCAAGGCCACCTCCTAACCCGGGGACATGCTCTCAAATACCAGCGGAGCCAGGTCCATGTGGACACACCATGGTTTGGGCATAGGTTAAGAGAAAAGGTCTGGACTGGACTCACTTGTTTAGGGAATAAAACCTACAGTGGCAGCAGCCAGCAAGCTGGTTGAGGCCAGACGAGAAAGGAGTAGGCGTTTTAAACTCCGTTCTGCCGCATGTCTAAGGCATGAAGACAGGTAAAGGACAGGTGGGAGCCAAGGAAACTGCATAAAAGAAGCGCTGCTCCTGTCCAAGCGGCGGCTGCAGAGCCAGGGCAGGCCGGTGAGCGTCTGCACCGACTGAGTCACGAGCAAAGGAGAGAGAACAAGGGACCCGCCGGCTCTGCTCCAGATGCTGTCCTGCCTCTGGGGCCCCACTGGTCACTACCTCACCAAGCCCTCTTCTCGGCTCCCGGCCTGGGTGACAGGCAACTCAAAGGTGTGGGAGGAGGGCGTGGGGACGAAGGGGCGGGGCGGGGCGGGAAAGACACACAGTGGCACATCTCCCTGATAATAAACAGCTCCGTGTTGCCTCAGAGGGCACGTGAGAAGGCTTCTGACAATCCCAGAGTTTTCCTGCCTGACACGGTGATCTAGGTTCAGCCAAGAGCTCGTGCCTTGTCTTTCATTTCCAGACAGAACAAATGCAGACATTAATACACAGAATGTGCAATGCAGGCAGGTAGTATATGTAGGAGAACCTTAGCGGAATTCATTTCCTGGCTTTGGGATCTTATTTTTTAATCTGTAAGCTCAACTCTATAAATAAGAGTTTTATTTGTATTTCAAGTTCCCACCAACCAAATGACAAAAATAGAAATCTACATTTAGAGATAGGACCTGCTACCAATACCAATATGATTTTATTGGAATATGGAATGTAAACAGATGCTTTCAAACAAACAATCTACCCTTATAAAAACGTATGGCATTATTAAATAGTTAATAAAGAAACCCTAATGTGACGTGGTGGCAGACCCCTCGAGCTCCAGCCTAGCTGTGCGAGTCCCCATAGCTGTGGCGCGGCTCTGCAGCTGGGGGGCGGGGACTGCTTGCAAATCAAGTTAATGTCAAGTCCCCCAAATGAAATCAGCACTATTTTTACTTTTTAAAACAAAATCTAGCTTCCTTTGCTAACGTGAAGGCTGGCACATGGATCCCAGGCTTTGCTACTCACTCTGGGAACTCCACTTCCTCCCCCAAGACCCTCGCCGCCTGGGCTGTGGGTGGCCCTGCCCATGTACCTGCAGGCGAGAGGGACTTGTCATTGCCATCACATTCACGTATTACCCATCAGAGCTTAGAAATGCAGAGTACCCTGATTACAGCGGGGAATTACTTCTCATGGGGATAAAAAGAGGCAAAAAGGGGGTGGGATGGGGATATATTTTTTTTTCTTCGCCCAATAGGTCATTCCTGAATAAAGTCTCATAGAACCTTTTTCCTCCCTCTCCCCGCTGACCTGTCTAAAGACCGACCTCCCAGCTTTAGTTATGGTTGTGAACAAAACGTCTTTGTTTCAGAGATGCGTTAAAATAGGTGCACACACAGGGATGTGCTGGGAAATGGTGAGGCTTCCTTACAAGGCTGCAAAAAAAAAAAAAAAAAAAAAGCTACACAAAAAAAAATAGCAACAAGATTTTATGGTTAGGCAAATCAACAAAGGTTACAGTGAGCTCCAAGTTATGCACTTAGCATCTAACTTCTGAAGAGACGATGGACCTGTTCGTGGCATCACAGGGTTTAAAGTGACGTCTGCTGACACCCAAGGGAACTCACGAGAGTGACTGCAGTTTGCTCCCAAATTAATAGGCTTAGAGGAAACTGCAGGGCTGAGGTACATTTCCTAGAGAGCTCATGTCATAAAAAAATACATAAAACATGAATTTGTAAAAGAGTTAAAAAAAAATACTGTCGCCGTTTTAGTATCTCCTGTTCGTAAGTGAGGCTGGTGTGTCAGTACAGGCTGCTGACGTGTGGCTAAAACTTGAGCCTGAATCTCACCCGAGGAAACCCAGACCACAGTGGAATAGACAGGAAGTCAGATATTCAGAGCGGGGGTCTCCTGTGAAACACAGGTGAGTGTACGACTCCGAGTCTCCCGTCTCCCGTGCATTCCACAGGGAGAGGCCCCTCAGATCCTGAACTAGGGGCAGCGTCCCGCTCGCTGCCGGAGCGTCAGCGCCCTGGAGACTAGGACTGGGGAGTTTCTTTCTTTTTGACAGACTTTTAGGCCTTTACTCTTCTTTGCGTTTAGAAGGAATGACTAGAATTTCTTTGTATCACACTGGAGTTTTCCTTCAAGGTTTGTGTTGTGTTGGTTGGTTTTATTGGCAAGCATCAATGCCGCATTACCCGTCGCTTTCCAGTCTTCATCGGGCCGCCGTGAGACCACTGGAAAGTACAGCGTTGTCCGCACAGGGCTGGGACTGCTCCTTCACCACGGGGTCTGCAAGGCAAAGGGCCAGGTCAGCAAGGCTGGGCGGGGAGGGAGGGACCATCACACCGAGCCCCGCCTTCCACAGTGAGCCAGCGAGGACACACTGCCGGGAAAGGCAGGACCAGGAGGGCGGGGGACATGGCAGCATATGGTTAAAGAAAAACCAGGTACTGAAAAATGATCAGGGTGAGCACTCATACTTCCTCAGAGTCAAGTTCAATGACTCAGACTCACAAAGAGCGGCACAGACATCTCCCACTGCTCAACTTTCTACTCACTTTCTTATGTGCTATTTTCCTTGAATACTGGTATCATACCCAACCCCCAATTTCTTCAATGCATGCACAATAATAGGCACTTCAGAGAAAAGGGTGAATAAAAAGAGCCATTAGAAGACCTAACCATTTTGCCCAGTTGGTATGGCTCCGTGGTTCATATCGACCTATGAACCAGGAAGTCACCGTTCGATTCCCAGTCAGGGCACATGCCCGGGTTGCAGGCTGGATCCCCAGTGTGGGGTGTGCGGGAGGCAGCCAACCAATGATTCTCTCTCATCATTGATGTTTCTATCTCTCTCTCCCTCTCCCTTCCTCTCTGAAATCAATAAAAATATATTTTAAAAAAATTTAAAAATATACATACACACACACACACACACACACACACACACACACACACACACATTTAGATGACCTAACCATTTTAAGCAATAGTAGCTAAAAAAATTTTTTTAAATAGAAGCATGAGTATTCAGAAAAGTAGACAGATCGTGAATTACATATTGTAAACATCAGTGCTCTGAATTCCATCAACTCAAAGGGTAGAAATAGATTTCTGTGCCCTGGACCACTGAAGGGTGAGACCTTTCAAATTTGCTACCTTCTAATGCTTATGGGCCAATAGGTTCCAAGACCAAAGAGCGATGTCAACTTCAGGGAAGTTTCAGTTAATTGCAGAGGGGAAAAAGAAGGAAAGATGGCAATTAGTCAAGCAACAGATAGGCTGAAAGTATTGGTCGACTCACATAGTGAATTGTGACAGGTAGCTTAACCTCCCTTATTCTGTCTCCTCTGACTGGCTTAAACCACCCCACACTGCTGAGAATAAAGTGTGAGACGTGCCTTATCAGTGCAGAGAACTGCACGCATGCAGAACAACAAGCAACCACATAAATAGAATTTATACACAGCCTCTTAATAATTCAGATAGAATTTTAGTGACATCTTTTCATACCTGCTTTCCTTTATGCAAATTCTTTTTACTTATTTAACTGATTTCCTTTAAAATATACTAACAGTTACATTACTTTCAACTAATTACTTGTTTTTCTGTGTGTGCTGGGGGTGTGTGTGTGATATCTTTGATTAGTTTCCAAGAAAAAAGTATATATTTGAAAACTTGTGATCTACCAACTCAGCCACTGGGAAGGGTCTAACACAGCGGTTGCCAACCTTTTGGACCTCGCGGACCACCAGTTGGAGACCGCTGGTCTAACAGACCAGACTCGAGGGAGCTACGAACAAATACCTCTGGGATCAAGAAGCAGACCTGCCAAGTTGTCTCAATGGTCTAGAACTAATGAGGCCGAATTCCAACGGCATTAATTCAAATACCTAGAATTCCCTTGACCAGCCTCAAAGATAAAGGGTGCAAGAACTTTTCCTTTAAAAAAGGGGCCTCTGCAAAGCGCCTGGAGACTCACAGAAGTACGGGTGCTCCATGGCCTCTTTGGCAGTCAGTCTCTGCTGATGGTCGTATCGCAGAAGTTTGTCCAGAAGATCTAGGGCCTCGGGGCTGACGAGGTGTCTGTTCTCGCTATGTATAAAGTTTTCCCAGCGTTTCCGTGAATGTCTGTGAAGAAAAGGGGAGCTATTAGCGTTCTGAAACAAAGTTCACCAAGATCCTTATGTAGTGGGGCCAAAACCAACAGAGAGTACGGCACTCGTTACAAGCTCCTTAAATCTCATTCTGGCTACCTGCCCCACCCCTACAGCTATGATCCCAGCCAGTGCACTTGCTAACATCTGTCTGATCCTCAAAAACAAAACAGTGCTCCATGACTGATGAACTAATTAAGACGTTTACATCTGATTCGGATGTAAAAGATTTCGATGGCTTTAGTTAATTCTGGGCAAGGCACAGAGGTGACTGAAAAATTGTTATTACTCAGTCATTATATTTAGAGCTGCTGGCCTTAGAAACATGGGTTTCATAAAATACTATTTGAAAAATTTCAACACATTTTCAACTCTATCTGAAAATAGGCTTTAAAATTACCTTATAAATAATCCATTACAGAGAACAAAAGAAATGGTTTCTTATTCAAAGAATCACAAATTTCTAAGATTTCTCCATTAAAATAAGCAGATGTTAAGCCAGAAAACTCTTTTTCTGTAACATTATAATTTTCTATTGATAAGCAGGCTATCTCTTAGAAAAGTAAAACTATTAGAAGACACATGTAAACAATGCCCAAATATGTCAAAATAAGTTAAGAAATGCACGGGGGGCGGGGATAGTAGAAGACTACTTGATTTTGATACAATTAGAAAGGGGAAGAGCTTTGGACAGTGATTTCGCCAACCTTTCCCCTCCTGCAGGGGGTGAGTTAACAACCCTCCCCTCCTCTCCCTCTTACTTACTGTCCCAGGATATCGTTGAAGTGCGGGTCTAGGTCTATGTGATACTTCTTCAGATACCCATACAGCTCATCTGTCCCCAGGACCTTGGCAATGCGAACAAGCTGAAACAAAAACAAACTGACCAAATCACCGCACACAGAACTCCCTGCACGCCCGTGAGGATGCTGTGACAGGGAACCAGACTTTCCACCCACGACTTCCCCAGGGACCAGGTACAGACCCAAGCCCGGGCAGACGGGCAGCAGACCCAAGGACACGAACACACATGAATGCAAATTTCCAACATGCCTTTGAAAGGATAAGGCAACTTACTACAGGAATCATCTAGAAGCTGACGATTCTGGGGACAACAAATTTAGTGACTAGAATCTAGTTTTATTAGGTAAGGAGGTGCCTGACTGCACAGGCTCACTTTGAAGTTGGGCATAAGATAAGCGTCATCTATCTTTGGAGACCTGGTAACTGCAGGCAAATTTTGTGAAATCCTTCACCCTGAAGAAAAGCGTGTATGAGGACACTGAGAGAGAACCAGTGGCTCAAGGACAGCACCCTATCAAGGGATGCCACTTTCTTGGCATCTGCCCCCAAATGGATATGAGCCAGATGGTGTCACTCACCTGGTCATAGTTGTCCTGTCCGTGGAAGAAGGGTTCCTTTCGAAAGATCATGCTCGCTAACATACAGCCCAAACTCCACATGTCCAAGCTATAATCATACATCTGAGGAAATAAGGACAAGCAGTCAGTCACAGGTTTTCCATTTTCCTGAGCCAAAAAAAAAAAGAGGTAGCTGCAGAAAATCAGCAATGATCATTCTGGGATGGAACAAAGACCAGGCTTTGAATGTATCCAAACTGACTCAATAAAAACCAAGAAGCCCGGCCGGGTGGCTCAGTGGTTGAGCCTATGAACCAGGAGGTCACGGTTTGATTCCCTGTCAAGGCACATGCCTGGATTGCAGGCTCAATCCCCAATAGGAGACTTGCAGGAGGCAGCCAATCAATGACTCTGTCATCATTGATGTTTCTATCTCTCTCTCCCTCTCCTTCCTCTCTGAAATCAATCAAAATATATTTTAAACAACAACAACAAAAAACAAAACAAAACAGGAAAAAGGAAAAGCCCTTAAGGAAACACAAAAAGAGCCCAGCGGTGCTCCGCTAACCACTTTACCTGGTAGTCCACAAGGAGCTCTGGTCCCTTGAAGTACCTGGAGGCCACGCGGACATTGTACTCCTGAGCAGGATGGTAGAACTCTGCCAGACCCCAGTCTATCAGTCGCAGCTACAAATACGACAGAAATACAACATGTGAAAGGAGCCTTTCTAGGTGCCTGTGCCTTAGAACAGGGCCACACCACAGGAAATGGTAATTATTTGGCCGTATGAAAAAATGTCAGCAAGTGCACTGGCAAAAAAATTGTACTTTCAGTAACTGCATACGAGGTCATTTCTGAACATGGCACTCAGAATCGTATTTGCTTTTTCTTTTTTAATATTTAAATTATCCTGGCTTATTCTCTTGAGATCAATAGAGCTTAAGCTTCTCTCTGGCTCCATACAACCTGTATGTGTAGCACATCCCCCACCATCAACAGCTTTCATTATAAGCTGTAGTTGTAACAGCAAGGGTGGGGGTACACGCCCCATTCCAGGATTGAGGCATTGCTCTAGCCTCTCATTATCTACTAGGTGATTCATTTATTCAACAATCAGGGACGACCAGCATTGGGCATTGAAACTAAGAGGGATCGATTATATTTCTAAGGCCAGGCAGACTGGTCTGAGAGTTCGTTAAGCAGCAGAAACCATCAGCAGCAGTTTCTTTCTTGAGGCCCCCCAGAGAACCATGACGACAATAAACAAGTGAGTACAGTCAGGCTCGGCTACGTTCCTTGTGTACTACACGTATGCGAGTAGGAACCAGCACCGGGAGACTGGGAAATAACAGTATCACCAGTCTGCCAATAGCACGGGTCTCCAGAAACCACCTAAGTCCTGGCCAGGGGTTGGTCTACACCTTCCAATGGAAGGCTGGCGGCTGCCTAGCTGGTATGGTACCTTTTTCTGTTGGTGATCTATCATGACATTGTGAGGTTTCACATCCCTGTGCATGATTCCCTTGCTGTGGCAGTAATCCAGAGCCTATTAGGTAAGAAAGCACAGAGAAAGGTAAGCAAACCCTCTACCACCCCCACATGGCAATCATATTTGCATTTGCTTGACAGCTTGACTTGGATAGTCTCCCCAGGGGCAGCTTACTGTCTGTAACAAAAGAGAAGAAACAGGCCTCAGGAGGCAGCCCTTGCTCTCTGCAAACCACGCTGGCAGCTGGGAGAGGGCTAAGGAGGCGACGTCAAGGCTTTGATGGCAGTTTCTTAAAATGGGGGAAATGAGCCCTGGCCAGTCTGACTCAGTGGTAAGAGTATCAACCTGTGCATTGAAGGGTCAAAGGTTCAATTCCTGCATGTACCTGGATTGCAGGTTCCATGTTTCTCTCTCTCTCTCTCTCCCCACCCCCCGCCCCCCTTCCCCACCACACTAAAAATCAATGGGAAAAATATCCTCGGGTGAGGATTAACAAACAAACATACAAAAACTCCTCTCCTACTTGCAGCTAGCCACCTGGGTTTAGAAATCATACATTAATCTGTTCTGATTTTATGTGTTTAAAATCAGACCTGGGAACCTCACCGGAGTCACCTCTCATAGAGGTTCAATGACACGCAGGAGTCCACGTGGACATGAAGCACGACACCCAAATATATTTTTCAGCGTGGCTTGTTTTTTAGGTAAGTGTCTTATGGGGGTTTTCTAGGTTAACACACATTCTAATATTAGTATTACCCTTAAAAGCAATCCCTGAGCCAGTTGGTCTTTAAGAATTATGATTATAGCCCTAGCTGGTTTGGCTCAGCGGATAGAGCGTCGGCCTGCGGACTGAAGGGTCCCAGGTTCGATTCCGGTCAAGGGCATGTACCTGGGTTGCGGGCACATCCCCAGTAGGGGGCGTGCAAGAGGCAGCTGAATCGATGTTTCTCTCTCATTGATGTTTCTAACTCTCTATCCTTCTCCCTCTCCCTTCCTCTCTGTAAAAAAATCAATAAAATATATTTAAAAAAAAAAAAAGAATTATGATTATAGCCCGGCAGGTGTGGCTCAGTGGTTGAGAGTCAACTTATGAATCAGAAGGTCATGGTTTGATTCCCCGTCAGGGTACATGCCCAGGTTGCGGGCATGATCCCCAGTGGGGGTGTGCAGGAGGCAGCTGATCAATGATTCTCTCATCATTGATGTTTCTCTCTCTCTCCCCTTTTCCATTCCTCTCAAGCTGGCCTTCACTCAATCCCCACGCCCCCCTGCCCTCTTCTCCTCCTCTCATGCTCTGTTCCCAACCACTAATCTGCTATCTGTTGCTATGATCTATCTGCCCTTTAGACATTCATAGAACAATACAATGAACAGTACTCCATCTTCATTCACTCAGATGTTTCTGAGAGTCACCCATATTGCTTTTCTTCTGGCTGAGCAGTATTCCACTGTGTGACGGTACCAGCTGGTGGACAGTGGGGTGGTTCCCACTTTTTGGCTCTGAAGAATTCGCTGCTTAAGTTCATGTACAAGTCTTTGAGGTGACACAAGCTTTCATTTCTCTTGGTGGAAGTGCCGGATTGCATGTAGGTTTTACATTAACCTTTCAACAAATCTGCCCCAGTTGTTTTCCAAAGTAGCTGCACCATTTTACATCACATCCCCATCAGCAACGCGTGACGGTTCCAGTTCCTCTACATCCTTCCCACACTTGTCCTTGTCCACCTTTTTGGTTATGGCCGTTCTAGTAAGTCTGCAGTGGTATCTCACTGCAGTTTTGATTTGTATTACCCTCATGAGTGATCAAGTTGAACATCTTTCCTTGTGCTTGTCAGCCTTTATCTTCTTTGGACAAATGTTGACTCAAATCTTTCATCCAGTTTTTATTTGGGCTGTTCTTGTTTTATTTATTTAGTTAGTTTCCCCGTGTCCTGGCGCTTGAGGATAGAACTGGCAGACTGGAAACCATTGGCACCGGAGACATGCTGCCAAGGGGGCAGGAGCCCCTACCCGCTGCCTCCATACATGACGGGGACTGGGGCCACACCCAGGCCCCGCCAAAAAGAGGAGGGTTGTTTTTGTTTTAAATTAAAAAAAGGAAAGAAAAAAAAAGTGCTGCCAAGATTAATGTTCTTCCCCTTCCAAGAAAAAAATGACAGTGCTCATATCTGACACTTGCGTGATGGACTCTTATGACTGGAAAAATGGAAAGGGCTTGGTGTCATTCCTGATGGGATGTGTGTTATTTTTCATGCCACAGTTTGTGAATTGTAAATGCGGTTTCCTATTTGTCGTAACTGGGCAGAAATGTTTTAAAAATTCAATAAAAATACAAATGTTTAAGCAACTAAAAAAAAAAAAAAGTTTTTGCTCCTGAACCTCCCTATTCTACACAATATAACTATTTTCATGAATTTCAATAGTAGGCCCTTTAGCTCGTCTTAAAAAGCACCTGAAGCCTGCCTGAGTCCCATAATACCCTCCGTGAGTGACAGTGACAGCAACCCAGCATCTCAGGGTGCCTACTCTGCTTGGCACTGAGGGCTCTTGGCATTTTCCATGGGACAAGATGAGGGTTTCTCAACCTTGGTACTGCTGACATTTTGGACCAGACAATTCTTTGTTGTGGGGAGCTGCCCCGCACACTGTAGGATGTCAGGCAGAATCCCCACTACATACCAGGTTACAATGGCACCCCTCCAACTGTGAAAACCAAAGACAGTTCCAGACTGCCAAATGACCTGGGTATGAAGCGGACCTGACTGAGAACCACTGGCCTAGGCTAGCAAGGGCACTGTACCAGGCATCCTTGTGTGGGAGGGAGGCCAGAAGCCAGGGAATGGTCCCTCGCACCAGCATCCAGGTATAAACCATTTCCCTTTCCCTAGACACAAAAGAGGCTACAGTGTCCGATGCTTTTTATATGAAGGTCAGAAACAGGCAAAACTAAATGGTGGTGATTGCCCTGGAAAGGTAGCTCACTTGGTTAAAGCATCATCCCAATACAGCAAGGTTGTGGGCTCCGTCCCCGGTCAGGGCACACACAAGAATCAATCAATGAATGCATAAATAGGTGGAACAACAAAAATTGATTTTAACACCCCCTCCTCTCTCTCTTGAAAAATAACTAAAAATAAAAATAAAAATAAAAACTAAACTATAGTGGTAGAGGTCAGACTACAATCTTCAGCGAAGGGGACACTGAATAGAAGGGGGACAAGAGAGCCTTTATGGGTTTTCATACCATTCCCCACCAGCCCTGTCCAACAGAACTTCCTGCGATGAAGAAACACTCCATCTCCGCACTGTCCAATACGGTAACCACAGCCACACGAGGCCACTGGGTATGTGGAATGTGAATAACAAAGCTAAGAAGTTCACTTAATTTAAATGCCTACCTGCAGGCCGAAGCTACTATTCTGGATAGCATAGCTCTGTGTAGATTTGGGTAAAGGTTTCACTTAGGTAAAATCCAAAAAACTGTACACTTAAGATTTGGTCACTTCATTTATGTAGGTTCTACTTCAATTTGATTTTCTCTTTTGTTCTGTTTTAAAGCAAAGCTGTAGCAAGACTCCCATGGCCGTGCCCTGAGATAGACCAGGGGTCCTGAGGACAGACCTCCCTGAATCTGAACCAGACCCAACTCTGTGCAACTCGTGAGTCACGAGCAATCATGGCAGCCTTCAACCTGTTTCTACATTTTCAACGTTTAAATGTTGCCTCTTCTCCATCCCTGCCCCGTCTCCTCCAGAAAGAACATCTAGTGAGTGCTGGTTCTGTTATCTTGCCTAGTCTTCGCCCAGATGAATTAGGACACACACCTGGGATGTGAGATTTGCCCGATGAAAGGAAATTCACAAAGGGGATTAATTCTTTTGCCAAGTTTACTAGTCAGACTCCCGGTGGAGCTACTGGCATGCTTTTAAATTCCTTGGGGGAATTCTTTCAGTTTTAAAATCTGGTCGTTTCTGACCACTAAGCATGAAGGATGTTTTCCCAATTTCATCTGGGGTTCCATGCCACATCAGCAGAAAGTACGCCCCTACCACCTCGCTGCTGCCTCTGGAAAACGGAGAGGACACCAGACACCGGGCGCCGCCCGGATGAGCAGCTGTGAAGACCTGCGTCACTGGACATCTTACCTGGTCTATGGGCCACTGTGCCAGGTTTCAACCTTACCTTTGGGGTGCTGGCCTACCTCAAACTCTTGGTATTTTGTTCAAGCAATGATTCCCAACTCCATCAAAACTCCATCTTGGCATTTTTCAATAACGCCAACACCTCCGTCACTCCTATGTTCTTTCAGAGGTTCTTAATTTGAGATCCTCACCCCTCCTAAAACTTACAGAGGCACTTTTGGAGTGATTTCACTGTTTTCATTAGATTCTTAGTGCTCCACGACACTAAAAAACTAGGAAACATCGGTCCACTCCATTTCCTAAACCTTTTTAGAATTCTTTACCTAAATGTTTACCTAGACAAACTACAAGAGATCATTTCTCCATCAACCAGTAACGCTTGAAAATCTCAGTCTTGGGATTAGTAAGTCTCCTAGAAGGTCCAGCCATCACTCTCCCTGCATGTCAAGGTTACCTAGCCAGGGCTAGAGGCTGGGTTGTCTCATATAAGAAGGGGATTATAAGAGACGGCAAGAAAGAGACGGCAAGAAAGAGACGGCAAGAAAGAGATGGCCAGGAATGCCTGCTATCCTGGTATGCACGTCCCTCCACAATGTGACCTCAATGCTCCGCCCATCGAGAGGTGGGATCCACTTCCCACCCTTTGAGTCTAGGCTTAGCCACGTGACTTGTTCTGGTCAACAATCAGAAACATGACACAGAAGAGTGCGTACATGACACTTACACTCTTGCTGCTAGACCTGCAAGGGAAGGGCCCAGACTAGCCTCCTGGGGGACGAGGCCTCAGCTACTCCAGCTGCCATCCAGACGTGAACGAGGCCATCCTGGACCACCCTAGACCACCTTGACCAACTGGCCCAGTTAAGTTTTCCCAGACCAAAAGACTCACCCAGCCAACCCACAGAATTATGAGAAATAATAAACTATCTGTAAAAAGTCGCTAAGTTTGGGTGATTTCTTATGCAGTAAAATCAATAGTAAATATTGATTAAGCAGCGAAAGGAAACCCAGGGGCAATAAGAGCTCTGAAGACGGAGGCTCTAATCTCCGCTATGATGCCCCTGGACTTGGCCTTCTCTGTCAGTTCCACTGGAAACTTTCTACGTAAAGATCCCATGATGGAGGCCTCATGGAAAAAAAACACACCCCCCAAAAACAAACAAACAAAACCTCCAAGTACTCTGGGTATCAAGAAACATCCTGCTCGTTCTCTGTTCTCTCAAAAACTCCCCCCTTAATGAATAAGCCTGAACAGAATTCACTGTCCACGGACGCCACTTACTTTAAGTAGTTCATACATATAAAACCGGATATCAAAGTCTGTCAGGATCTGGTAAAGTTGCTGAAACAGATTTCAGAAAACAAAGTTACGTTAGTGTCATTACATCTTGTCATCCCAATGTTGGTCATTATTCTCTGTCAACTTTAAGCATGAGTCACTCAAGAATCCCAGAACTGTTTACTCCCCGACCTGCAACAAATGGGGACACAGACTACAGAGGGTCTAATACTTCAGCCTTCCAAAGAAAGAAGAAAGGAATTCCAGGGAAGAAAACCATTTATTCCAACCTGGATCCTTTAAAAACATGTTTAATGCTCCCTGACTTCAACCCCCACAATCACACTGTCTTGGAGATGAAGCCGCAGTTGTCCAACTGCACGTCAAACAAACCCACCCCACTGCGGCTGTAGAGCAGTGGTCAACAACCTTCCGGACCTCACGGACCACCAGCGGTCCGCAGACCACTGGTTGGCGACCGCTGAGTGTAGATGCAGTTCTGTGGATAGGAGACCCTGAAAAACTGCATCAGCCCATGTGGGAAAACAGTGGCAAGACAGCCTGTTCACGAAAGAAACACGAGGAAACCCAACTGCTATAGCATTTGGAAATGGCGAGACTTAAAAAAAAATCGATACCCTCCACTCCTCCCAAACCAATACCAGGCTGGGAAGAGAACACTTCATAGGCAATATTGATGAGAACTAACTAAATCAATGTTTTAGGGAAAAGAAAAAATGAGAGGTGGAGTGAAATGTTAAACAACCGATTCACAAATGAACATTTTCATGATTGATAATCCAAAGACCCACCCACTGGGAGATTTTTGAAATTTTTCAATTTTTAAAAGGAAGAGTAGTTTTTATGAATCAGGTTCATTCAAACACGAACCCTTGTCAAAACTCTATTATTACTTTTTTTTTTTTAAATATATCTTATTGATTTTTTTTACAGAGAGGAAGGGAGAGAGATAGATAGTCAGAAACATCGATGAGAAAGAAACAGATCAGCTGCCTCCTGCACATCTCCCACTGGGGATGTGCCCGCAACCCAGGTACATGCCCCTGACCGGAATCAAACCTGGGACCTTTCGGTCCGCAGGCCAACGCTCTATCCACCGAGCCAAACCGGTTTCGGCTCTATTATTACTTTTGATCATCAATTCCAAGGAGATCGCATTCCCCATCAGGCCAAGCAGCACTGCCGATGAAATTAATCAGCACACCGTTATGAAATACTAGAGGCCCAATGCACGAAATTCATGCAAGGGGCTCGGCCCTCACAGCCTCGGCCGGCCCTCCCCCAGCTTCGTCCAGAAGGTCGTCCGGCTGTTTGGTCTAATTAGCATATTAGCTCTTTATTATATAGGATGTTTTGTTTCTCCTTTATTGGAAGACTCAAGCAATAAAGAGAGAAGCTCTTCAGGAACAGAGAACAGTGTCTGTGTAATAACGGGGGAGGGGTGGGGAATAAAACTACATAGTCACACTTGCTTGTATCTGTAAGAATGATGAGATTAATAAAAAGTGGTTTCATATATATGGGGCGTGGGGAAGGATGGACACTGAGGCACAGGGGAATAAAGCAGATTTTTCCTGCATACCAGTTCATATTTTAGATATAGGCAAATACATTACCTGTTTAAAACAATTTTTTTTTATTTGCTAAAAATCAAATTTAACAACTTCTAAGAACATCAGGACTTCTTTTTCAAATGTCCCCTTTTAAATCAGAGTGGCTCTCCCTCCAGCCTAGTAAAGCTATCTGATTTCATCAACCCCAGACAGCAGCCAGCTCAGGCACCACAGAGAACGGAACCATACGTTACAGTACACATACCGGTGGTGCCCACTGGAGGCTGGCCCGGTTGGGCCCCAGCTGCACTCAGGCACAAGGGCACAAACACCTCTGCACCATTTCTCAGGAGATTCAACTGCGTAGCAGCCCAACACTCAAGTTTTTTGTTCTCCCCAGCGCACCCCAACCTGTATGTACAAAACCGGGCGAAGATACCATCTCTCTGCGTGTCAGGTCAGCTTCTCCTGTGAGAGTTAAGGAGATCACTCCCAGAGATGATGCCAAGTTGAACCTCAAGTCAATAAAAAAGGCCATAAAAGGGAAAACAGCATTTACTACCCCTCAGAGGCCTGGGATAGAGTATTTCCAGAAATGAATATGGGCTATTTTACTAGCTGGGTGTTATCTGTGGAAGGTGGTATCATGTGGTATCTATACCACACATCTGTGTAAATGAATGTCCTTGGTCTGCCAACACAGCATTCCAACTACTCCATCCAATATCAATTTTGTATAGTACAAAAAAACACCAGCTGAATATAGTGCTTAGGCCTAACACATTCTAAGTATTACCATGTATCTTTTATTATCACTTTGACACACATGAAGTGTTACACCTGATGATTTCCAGGAGAAATCGACCAAAACAGTACCTCTACCATAAAATGAAATATCAAGGGAAAAAATTAATAAGGCCCTAAAAGATCTGAACTAAATTACCAAGCTTGATATAAAAACTGACCATGTACTAAAGTCACAAGAATCAATCATCAAAAAATTCCAAATAATAAACATTATATGGATCAGGTTCTCTGGACACAGTGCAATCAAATTAGGAATCGATAATAAAATGATTTTTTTTAAAGTGGGTTCTGGAGCATATTTTCACAACCATACAGCTGAAAAGGACATTCTGTGGACAGTAATCGCTGGGACACCTTTTAGTATGGACTCTATGCTGTCTATTAGGTGGCACGACTGCATAAATATTAAATTTCTTAAGTGCACTGTGGTCATGTAGGAAAATATCCTCCACCCAGTGCTAGCATATCGAGGAGTGAAGTAACGCAATGTCTGCAACTTACTTTAAGATGACTCCAGCAAAAAGACAGAGATAAAGAGGGGAGTGTGTGCGTGTGTGGGGGAGGGTGGAGAGAAATAACTGCAAATGTGACAAAATATTAACTGGTAAATCTAGACAAGTAACATAAGGGCACTGACTGTGCTACTCTTTCCAATTCTCAGTCGGTCTACAGATGTTCAAAGAAAAGTTTGGAGAGAAAAACCCAAATCCACAAGATGGGACTTTGTATTTCTGCTTTGAAAATGATACTGAAGTGAGTTCCATAACCATGAAATGTAGCGAAAATAGTGCTTGGGGTTCACAGACTTCAGGAAAGAGAGAGCCTGGCCGGCGTGGCTCAATGGCTGAGCACTGACCCATGAACCAAGAGGTCACCAGTTCAATTCCTGGTCAGGGCACATGCCCGGGTTGTGGGCTCCCTCCCCAGCAGGAGGCAGCTGATCAAGGTTGATGTTTCTCTCTACACTGATGTTTCTGTCTCTCCCTTTTGCTTCCCCTCTTTCTAAAATCAATAAACACATATTAAAAAACACACACACACACACAAAAACTCCATGACATTTCAGATACATGTTTGAGCATAGAAACTCACCAGAAAATGAATGTGAAAAAGAGAGAAAAGGCATGAAGAAAACATAATGGGGGGAAAAGACACATTTTCTCAGTGAGAAAATAGAAGATATTACATAAAACATAAAAGAACAGGATACGATTTTAAAAGGTCCGGAGAACAAAACAGAGCTCTACGATAGGAAGTCTAACATCCGAATGAGTTTGAGAAAGTGAGAACAAAGGAGGGAAGAAAATCAAAGAACATGAAAAATACTTTTCTGAAACAGAAGGACACGACTTTCTAGATTGAAAACGCCCAGTTCGTATCCAGAACGAAGGATGAAAGCGACCCATATAAAAGCATGTCACGGGGCAGCCCCAGAGCCTGGGCAGGAAGGGAGACCCTGCAGGCTTCCAGGGAAAAACAAGAGACAATCACAGACGATGAAACCACAATGGCTTCAGTGGTAAGAGCAGAACTATCTCTTCAAAAGGCTGAGGAAATTATTAATTACAACCTAGAATTCTACACTGTGGAAAATATGTTAGTTGGGAGGATAAAATAAAGATGTTTTCAGATACGCAAGCCCCTAAAAACATTAAAATCCCATGATCCTTTTTGAAAAAGCTCCTAGACAATGTATGCCATCCAAACATCCCCTTTGTAAGAAGTCAGGTTTCTCTAGGGAAGTAAACACTGACCTTCTGCCAGTTGTCAAATCCACCTGGCAATTTAGAAACACAAATGCTGAAGTGAAATTTTACATGTGGCTGGACAGCTGGTAAGAACTCATTAGGAAGCAGAGGCATTTAAAACTAAGGGATTTTAATATGAAGCTTCATGAAGATTGGCTTTGAAATGTTTGCATTAGAAAGATGTTTGGCTTCATGAAAGCCTGTTTATTTCTTCAGAAACACACACACACACACACACACACACACACACACACACACACACACACCTTGATAAACCGGGGTCACTCATAGCAAATTAATGAAAAAAATGTATACCCTACTTTTTAGAGTTCACTATTGGAGTCATAAGGAAACTTGTTACATACGAGGAATGCAACACTGTATATAAAACTTGCTTATTGTTCACTGATTAACTTTAGAGCCGCTGTAGAGTGATTACCTAAGAAAAATTAAGTGCGAGGGTAAGGTTCTTTTATTTTCACCCAAAAGCATCACTCCCGACAGCATATTTCAACTGCTGATTTGATGTCCCTAACTTCCATCCCAACAAAACCACAAGCCTTTTATTCACTGGCAGAGTTGTAATCACCGAAAAATCTCTAAATGCCCCTAAAATCAACACCGCTTTTGATTTTTAAAAAACTTTCTCTTCTCATAATGGTTTTCATATTGTGCTCTACCATGTCCAGCCTGCCTGGCCCCCACACCTTGACATGAGTTAAGGTTGCGGTGTTTGAAAAACACTAAAAACAAGTTCATGAAAAACCGGCTTAATACTCTGCTTTCGAAGAACACATCATAGTCTAAATTAATATAAATATAAGAACTGTATGAGGCTGCCTGACACAGATGCCCAGGAGCGCCCGAGGTGTCTGGGAGCACCCCGACTGAATGAACCCAGGGGTAGGGACTGCTGCACCCACCCTCCCCTGCACCAAGGCAAAGGCTGGGGCTTTAGCACTTCCTGCTGGTGAACTGGGGGGCTGGGAGCTCAGTCCAGGAGAGGGAAAATGAGTATCTTTTTAAATGTCTACAGATGGTGCATGTTCTCTCCAGAGATGCTTCCAGTTAAAGAAATAATTTAAGAGTCGGGTATCTTAATAAAATGTGCAAATGCAAAAAGAAAGAAAGAAAGAAAAAGAAAAAAGAAAAGAAACGTAAATAACCAGGGCAGGGCTTTTCTGCGCCATCTGCTCTGTATACAGTGTGCATGAACACACCATCTGAGAGTCTGACTCCAATGTATTGCTTCTTTTCACGAGCCTTGCACCCACTCATCACTTTCTATCAGCAATGTAAGTAAGATTCCTAAGAAAATCAAAGGTAACATCTACCTAAAGCTGTCCTCTCAAAGAGGAGTGGAAGCATTAGCTTAGACCAGCCATGGGCAAACTACGGCCCTCGGGGGCGGTTTGAAATGAATAAAACTAAAAAAAAAAAAAAAAAAAAAAGACCGTACCCTTTTATGTAATGATGTTTACTTTGAATTTATATTAGTTCACACAAACACTCCATCCATGCTTTTGTTCCGGCCCTCCAGTCCAGTTTAAGAACCCATTGTGGCCCTCAAGTCAAAAAGTTTGCCCACCCCTGGCTTAGACCCAGCCCAGCAGCCATTCCCAGAGCAAGTGAGGCAAAGGGCGATGAATAACTACACCAAATGCAAGAGCTCTAACCACTGTCTGCCTCCTGGAGTCATGCCAGAAGGAATCCAATGTGTGATTTCCTGCTCACCAATGACCTTTCTGCCCTCGTGTTCTAGAGTATCAGCAGTACTTATTGCCACCACCCACCCCCTAAACCCCCGCAAGCAGAAAGAAAAAGTTTATACGTACCTTAAAATCTGTATTATTGATATATTCAAATACCAAAGCTGGTGTCTTTGACTGCAAGAAAAAAATATAAATTATTAAATATTCAAACAATAAATGTAGTTTCTTCTGTCATACAGCCCATCCTCAAATCCCACTTAGATGAAAAGGATCCACCCCCCCCAGGGAGAGACTAGCAAGAAAGTATCCTCTTGAAATTTTATGCCTGGAATTTGCTTCAAAATAACAGGATGGTGGGCAATGGGAGGGTGGGGGAGTGGGTGGGGGATGGACGAAACAAAGTTGGCCAGGAGTGACTTAGTGCTAAAACGGAGTGCTGAGCGCAGGCAGGTTCATATTACTCGCTTTACTTTTGTAAATGGCTGGAATTTTTCATAATAAAGTTCTGTTTGTTTCTTTGTTTGTTTTTAAAAGGGGTATATTCTCTGACCAACCCGTCCACTGGGCCTGGCACATTATGCGAAGATTTATACTCTTGAGGTTTCAGTTTGCCAACTACGAAAGGAGCGACATGTTTTCATCTTGGTTTAGCGAGCCAGACGCATTTTATAGAATTATCATAGGTCTTGGGGCTCTAGCACAGGTCTTTTCAGGATCCGAAAGGAAATTATCTATAATTATCAGTAAGCCACAATGTGAAATTACTTCCTCAAGTATTTTTAAAGCACTATAATCTTTGATGCAATGAATACAAAATAGTCAATATTTCCTTGTTGTAAACAGACTTTCAAATGTCAAGTTTACTTAAGTGAGGTAAAATAATGCGAATTGGCAGTAATAAGCTTTGAAAATTGGGAGAAAAGCAGGGGCTTAAGAGCATTATAGGAAGAAACAATCATCCAAGAAATCTTTCCAGCCGGAAGTTTTGCCGAAGGAAGCAGATGAAAGTTACCTAGGCGACAGGCCACAGTGCACCCACACGGGCCTTAGCCAGGATGAGCGGCAGTCCCGGCCAAAGGGTCCCCACCAGCCCACGCTGAGGGCTTCACCACCAGACCTCTCCACAGGTCGGGGAGAAGGTTCCCTGGTTGTTTCGTCCACTTCAGTTACTGGTTACGTATGTGTAAAACACACACACACACACACACACACACACACACACACACACACAGTGAGACAGCTATCACCCAGCTCCGTGTCACTGCAGAATCAATCTGAGCTGATCAGACGGGGATATATTTGTGCCAATTAGATGGGGTCTAGAATATGACCACCCTTCTCAGTCTTTTCAGGGACCAAAGTAAAAAACTTTCCTTATTCTTCAGGTTAGCAGCCCTGTGTAATTTTGGGCAAATTACTTAACCCCTGTAGACTTCAGTTTTCTTATCTGCACAGTGTGACAATGCAGACAACAGCACCTACCCCCCTGGACTGCTGTGAGGATTACAGGATGAGATAGTTAAACGCTCAGAACAGTGCTGGCACACACATGTTAGCTACCACATTATTATGAGGATGTTTTTAGCCGGTAGAACCAAAGACAATAAACACAAGCTATCATGGGAGAACGGACATATTTGAGGTACGGCAGGTGAAGAACAGAAATGGGATGGGAAGCGATACCAAAAAAGCCTTAATCATAAACACTTAAGGTTAAGTCACTCCCGGGAAGAGACAAAAAAGTAAACAGCTCTACTAAAATGGCTCAAAATTAAGCATTTTAACAAAAATATTTCAGATGTTTCTGGATATACAATGTGGCCCCTAACAGTGGATGCTGAATTCAAGACCAGCATGAGAACCAGCAAGCTCGCCTCCTTGAAGGTCAGTGGGCCCGGGACCTGCTCAGCTCTCTACGCCAGGTGTCCACATGGAGATTCTCAGTTCTTCCTTCTGTGACCCCAGATTTTCAACAGAAGGTAAAATAATGCTGATTGGTAGGAATAAGCTTCAAAACTAGGAGAAAAGCAGGGTCTTAAAGGAGACAGTCAGCAAACATCTGTAAGCTGAATCAGGAGAATGAGGTAATACACCTGGGCAGGGATGTGCCTATCTAATAGACAGGGTAGGTTCTATGGAAGTGGTGGTGGCTATTTGCACATTGGGCCACCATGATTTTTTTTTCTGGTTTTCAAAATCATTCCGTAGAAAAGACAAACACGATCATCCTCACTATATAATATTTCTCAGTATTTTAGGTTCTCTCTCTCTCGCTCTCTCACACATACACTCTCTCTCCCCCCCCACCCCCAACCATCAGGCACCTACCACAGGGTCCTTCACAGTGTCAATCAGCTTAATGATATTTGTTCCACCACGAAGGTTCTCCAGAATCTTAACCTCTCGTTTTATCTTCTTTTTCTTCACTGG